AGAAGTATCCTACGCCGTGTACGATCTCTCCCAATCGAAGAGTTACCACCACAATTTACGTTGAAAGATGTTGCACATGTTATCTTAGGCGCTTGGTCCTGACGGAATTGGTATGTTGAAGCAACTGGATGAGCCAGGAGGTCAGTATATCACCAAACTCCTCAATTTGCCGTTAGCCATCCTAATAGTTTACGATGCCTGTAAAATTGGCAGGGTGGTCCCGTTACTGAAACCAGACAAGGATTCCAGCAAAAGTGACTCAAAGGCTGAGGCTTTACTCCTCCCCATCATAAGAGCGTGTTTCCCAGTAGCTGAACATCAAGAGAGATTGCGGAAATTGCATAGCACAACAACAGCTTTACAAGCCCTTTCCACACATGTCAGCAGAGGACTCAACCAAAACAGGCCGTGTGACAGAACAGTTATGGTGGTACTTGATCTATCAAAAGCTTTTGATACAGTCAATCATGCCACACTGTTCTAGGAACTGTTTTGCCTCTACCCATGGCACAATAAGAAAGGTTGCTCAACTTAAAATAAACTAGAAAAAATGCAACTCTGTGCTGGAGTCTTATAGTGTCAAATAGACTTAAACACAGCGAACGAAAATAAACTATTGGAAACGTTTGAAATCGTTTCGTTCTGTATTTTCTCGAAGTTCGAAACGAAACAAAACCGACATTAAGATAACGGGACTTGTTTTTTGTTTTGTATTGTTTGTGTAGATGAGTGAGACAAAAACAAAACTGAAATGTACTCTGCTGGATGACGCAACATTGGAAACGAAACAGTACAATACTCATTGCAAACGTTTCCCTGTATATTAACTCATTACAAATAATGTACAAAGTAATTGTCCCTTTTTATTCATTTATTTGACCACCATACAATGTAAAAAAGTACAAAAAACAATATTAAGAATAACAACTCATAGTGTACCAGTCATCATTTCGTACAACAAACGTTTGGAAACGTTTCCCAGCGATTCGTTCGCATACGATACAGGTCGGCAACTTACAGCCGAAGTACATTAAGGCAGTCGTATTGTTTGTGTACTTCTGTAGTAGGATTCTCTAACTCATTTTTTGAGTTACCGACAAAAAACTTTGAAACCCAAAATTTTGATATAATTTACATTTATATAAGAATTTTTGCTGGATAAGTTTTTTTCGTCATAAGCTGTTGAAACTTAAAACACGAAAGTCGAAACAATTCCGGTGAATAATGCCGCTAATATAATCAAAATACCGAATAAAGAGAGGTACCGTTGTATGGGGGATATACTAAGATGAGGACCTGCACAGACAATTTTCCGTTATCGGTTGTAATATCCATTTACGAAATTTTACGAAATTCCTGTGAACAATGTCGCGGAAATCCTGGAAATACCTATAGACCTATAAAGATAATTCTCTTCCAGGGCGTAAAGTACTCAGAGCGAACTTTTTTTGTGGATTTTCAGACCATTAAATTGAAAAATGTGGCTAAAATCATCAAAATACTCATTTTAGTTTCTGCATGATTAGTTTCTGTTTTTGAGTAATAAATTGTTTAGTATTTATGAATCAGCTGAATGCTTGCTTGATTGATTTTACATATTTTCTTATACGACACCATTCATATGCTATTAAGATATGTGTTTTAATTCATCATTCAAATACTTTGAATTAAAAACAGTTTTGACTGTAAATTATTTTATCATGACACGACCCCTGGTCAACCTATAAAATCCCCTTTCCAAGCCAGCTGACTACCAAACTTAATGTCAATATGCATTATTCTAAGGTAAACAAATAGCTAACAAAGTGTAAACAAATGTTGAAATTTTTACATGGTAGAATTAAGAAGGTAAAGTCATGCAATAATATATATAATATGTTAACAATTTTGTTCAAAATGAAAGAATATTTATAAATCCATTGTACATACACATATCAGAGATGGGAACCCGGGTTCTATGCAGTTAAATTTGACAAAGTAAGTTCCAGAAAACTCAGAGATGGGAATGCTATATATATAAATATGTCTATGTATGTCTATATGGCGCTGGGTGGTGCACATTTCTGCCTGTTTTAAGTTGTGTTCCAGAACCTACAAATTAGTACTAATTCTGCTACAACGCGTTCCCGTACTGCAAAAACTAGCAAAACTTGCAGCTCTCTCGAGAAAAAAATGGCGCTGAGGGGTGCACATTTCTGCTTGTTTAAGCTACATGAATTTGGCCGAGCAGAAATGTGCAAATTGTGAATTTGACATTTAATTGGCAGGGCTAACAAGGTTGAAAAATGTATTGATACATTTCAATGTTCCCGCGTCATAACAAAAATGAAGAAATGATCAACTTAAAAACTAAAGGAAAAACTAATATTTGTAGTGCAAAAAAACAAAAAGAGAAAATATGGAGCACTTTTGGATGATTCCAGTAGTGAAGAGGACTGGCTGAATGATGAATCAGATTATTAATTATTATTATAGATTATTAATTTTAACGTATCGTCTTCAATACTAAATTTTTTAAATTTTGGCGTCCGTTTCAGTAAGGTTTCACGAGTCCGATTTGGACTATTTACTCTTGGAATTTTGGAGCAAAAATGTGCATATTAGTTGTGTTCCAGAACCTACAAATTAGTACTAATTCTGCTACAACGCGTTCCCGTACTCCAAAAACTAGCAAAACTTGCATCTCTCTCGAGAAAAAAATGGTGCTGAGTGGTGCACATTTCTGCTTGTTTTAGCTACATGAATTTGGTCGAGCAGAAATGTGCATATTGTAAATTTGACATTTAATTGGCAGGGCTAACAAGGTTGAAAAATGTATTGATACATTTCAATGTTCGCGCGTCACATGGTAGAAAAATACAGGTAGATGCATCAACGCTTGGGAACATTGATATGTCAAAAAATTTTAAATGTTTATTCAAATATAAGTAGAATTGTATATGTTTTCTTATACGACGTCGTTCGGAGGTTATAGTAATTCGGTATTTTGAGCATTTTTTATAAATGTAAATAATTTTTCATTCAACATTTTCAATTGCAAAATTGGTTTGACAGTTCATTGTCCCAGCAGCTGTGTCGATTCGTCTACCTATATTCTTCTACCATGGCGCGTCACAACAAAAATAAAGAAAATGATCAACTTAAAAGCTAAAGGAAAAACTAATATTTGTCGTGCAAAAACAAAAAGAGAAAATATGGATCAAATAATGTATTCACTTTTGGATGATTCCAGCAGTGAAGAGGACTGGCTGAATGAGGAATCAGATTATTAATTATTATTATAGATTATTAATTTTAACATATCGCCTTCAATACTCATTTTTTTTTTTTAAATTTTGGCGTCCTTTTCAGTAAGGTTTCACCAGTCCGATTTAGACTGTTTACTTTTGGAATTTTGAATGTTGACATTTTATCGCATTTCTGCTAATTTTCCGTTCCCTTATTTTTTGAGCACACCTAAATGAGAATGACATTTCGAACTGTTCTCTCTTCTGCTAGTTTTACTACTAAAAAACTGGAACACAACTAAGGTGTCAACATTTGCCTACACTCTTTTGACTATTGTTTTTTTTTGTTCTGTGATTTCAAAAACAATATGTGTGTCTGGAATTGTCCAGCAACATCTTTCTGAGAGAGTAAGGTAGTTTTTTTCTCTTTTGCAAGGAAAATGCGAAAAGTAAACAGACGGTATTCCTGGAGAAGCTTGCAACTACTTATTTTCTTATTACATATTAATATTTATGTTTTTCACATTTTGTAAAGTTGTTCTTCAAAAACAATTAGTCTTACTAATTCCAATATATTTTCAAATTGAAAGCACAAAAAGAAATAAACAAGCAATAGAAAACATCTGATTGAATGTCGATGAATGAGAAGAAGAAGAATTGCAAGCATGGTAGAAGAATATAGGTAGAACATCCATGGTACAATGAATTCAAGGTAGGGCAGAACTACCATATGATTTTAATTTTTTTATTTTTCTGGCTTAATATGCAAACTTCGTTTGTTTATGTGTGTGTATTCTATAATTCAATAATAAAAAAAATTTTCAGAAAATATTCAAATTCGGGTGTTTTCTAAATGCTTATTGCAACGTATGCATCGACGAAATCTAAGGTTTTTGTCGCGAAATAAAACATAAGAAATATATAGAACATGATTTTGAAAAGAAATGTTGACCTTTCATTCATTTTTCGCGGTTTTAAATTATTTATTCAAAATCAATGCAACAAGTTGTTTGCTTTTTTATTGTTTTGATAGAAATTCTGACATTACAAGCCAAACAGATAGACCTCTATACTTGCAATTTTTTCAAAGTTAGCCTACCTTGTCTTCATTGTACCATGGATACATCAACGCTTGGAAACATTTATATATCAAAAATTTTGAAATGTTTTATCAAAAATAAGTGGATTTTTAAATGCTTTCTCATACGATCCAAATCGGAAGTTGTTATAATATGTATTTTTCAAAATATTTTACACTTTTCAATAATTTTTCATTCAAAATTTTCAATTCCAAAATTAGTTTGACAGTTCATTGTCCCAGCAGCCCATAATTGAAAAACGCGATAACTGAATGAAAAGTCAATACTTCTTTTCAAAATCATGTACTATATATCTCTAAATGATTATTTCGCTACAAAAACTCTAGATTTTGTCGATGCATACGTTGAAATAAACATTTTGAAAACACCCGAATTTGAATATTTTCTGAACAAACTTTTTGTTATTGAAAAGAAAACACATACATAAACAAATAAAAATGACATATTAAGCCAAGAAATCTCACTGAAAGAACTGTTAAAAATTCTCTCACCACTCTCTTTTTCAAATCTTTCGGGTTAACAGCCGACTTCCAGTAACAATTTATAACTATTACTACAAATTTTAGGGTAACCAGACACACCTAATAATTCATTTTGACATTACGTTTGGTAGCCATCTGGCTTGGTAGGGGGACCTTATACTTGGTCCATGATGCGGCGGCTTCAACGCTGTACTATTTATTGGGTGGCTTTGAATTATCTGTAATAAGTTAAAAGTTAAATATGGACTAGATTCCATCTAATCATCAAAACATTCCATTACACAGATAACAACAGAAATGTCTCAACCAACGATCATGCGTTTAATGGCTTTGTCCATTAATACTGCTAAACGTGCTGGAAGTATTATAAGAGATGTTATGCAAAAGGGTAATTTAGGCATTGTCGAAAAGGTTTGTTCGCCAAAATGGAATACTTATTTAGCACTTGATAAATGTTTCCTTTTCTAGGGTAAGGATGACTTGCAGACCGAAGCAGATCGTTCGGCACAACGTTGCATCATAGCGTCCTTGTCCAAATCGTTTCCTGAAATAAAGATTATTGGAGAAGAAGGCGGTTCAGACCTTAACGTCAATAACGATTGGTTGGTTACAAAGGCAGATGAGGATTTTTTAACGAATTCATGTCCGAAACAGTGGCGTGATATAAAGGATGACGAGTTTGTCGTGTGGGTAGATCCTTTGGATGGAACGTCGGAATATACCCAAGGTTTCCTCGATCATGTTACAGTTTTAATTGGAATAGCTGTTAACAATTCCGCTGTAGGCGGCATAATACATCAACCCTACTTCAAAAATCCTGGAGGAGAATTGGGACGAACTATTTGGGGTTTGAAAGGATTGGGAACTGGTGGTTTCGAACGTCTTTCACCACCGAAAGATAAATTCATTGTTACAACAACCAGATCACATTCCAATGCAATAGTGCAGGCTGCATTAGATGCTCTTTCTCCCACTGATATTATTAAAGTAGGAGGCGCCGGGTATAAGGTATTGCAATTACTGGAAGGAAAAGCGCATGCTTATGTCTTTGCTAGCCCAGGCTGCAAAAAGTGGGATACTTGTGCTCCGGAAGCTGTGTTGGAAGCGCAAGGCGGCACACTTACAGATATGTTAGGTAATCATTATTCTTATGGTTCAGATGTCCTCCATCCCAACGCCCAAGGCGTTCTGGCGACAAATGGAGATGTGTCCCATGCTAATATTATTTCAAAGTTACCTTCTAATGTCTTAGAGGCTATGAGAAGCAAATGTTAATACGTTGTATTATATTATCGATGTTATTATAAATAAAAACTAATTCTGAAATAACCGAATTCCATAACACTCTTTTCAATGTTTATCCGAATGCACAAGAAATACATATAATACATCATTAAAAACTTTGAAGTGCGGACGCACAGCACATTTAATATGGTAATATCAAGTAAAGAAAGCAGATCTCTTAAAAACTGGGACTAATTTGAATAAAGAGTGAAACTCGCTGGAATTCGATCGGAAGCGCTCCTGGGAGTAGAAAAAATCGTGCAAAGCTAATTTTTAGATGTCACTTAAAAGGAGAATAAGCATGTTTTCATCGTTTTTGAGATGGATTGCCACCAAATCGTTCTAAATCGAGCAGATTCTAGTCTTGTCGCGCACTCTTTTAGTTTTCGTCATACCGTTGTTGTATTTCTATGTATGTGCAATGTCTACAATTCTGCAAGTTTCGCTCCTAAGTGAAATTGAGCAAATCTGTGCTTTGAATGAAAACCTTAAAAAATCGGGATTCAAACTAGTTCCAATTAAACCGCAAATGCCATCGATATCGGTTGGAGAGTGGAGTCAAATGGGTAACAAATTGTACAATTTTGTGAATAAACTGTATTGTCCTAAAATTTTAGATTCAACCCTGTAGAATAACCCCGAGGTTCCATCCTTTTTTGGGGGTTTTTTCCGAATATAAGAATTTTGTACAAGAATTAAATATAAACAAAACCAACTGTTGCATATTTAAAAGCTTATTTGACACTATAAGACTCCGTTACAGAGTTACATTTTTCTAGTTTCCTTGAAGTTGAGCAACCTTTCTTATTGAGTCGTGTGCCCTACCTTATCTTCATTATACCATAGTTCAGATATGTAATATGTTTAGATATATAATATATTAAGCAGTTTTGCCATGGAATTGAAATATTGAACTATTTGGAGCACAGTTTTCAAAGAAAATCTAGGCATTTCATTCATCTTTCGCGTTTTTAATACTTTAAAAATGAAAAATACAAAATAAATAGATATAACTTGTTGCATATAATTATATATAATTTAATTATATAATATAATTATATATATTTTTGACAGAAAGCGGGCATAGGCTCATGGCTGCATTTCTACAGTTTTACTAAGCTGTACCATAGACTACTAAATCCACTCGATTCCAAATGTCAATTCTACAGCGTATACGTCACGTAAATCGTATTGATAAATCTAGCGTGTATTTTTTGACCTATTATATATATATATATATATATATATATATATATATATATATACTTTTTTTGTTTTTGGTATATTTTCATTGACTGAATGAAAAGTAATAATAAAAAACAATATTGCTGGTTATAACGTAAAAAACTATATATTTGAACAAACTGAAAAAAGATATTCTATAGCCAAATTAACAATAAATTATGACAAAAAAAAAAAAAACATATGAGAGATATGAACCCGAAATTTGCCAAGTTCGAAAATCATTTTTTAATACAAATTATAAATGAATATGCAATTATATATTCTCTCTCACCCACCAATAATTTGTTAGTCAATAACATAACGAGTTGTTTTACTAAGATATATATTTTGCTTTTAATTTGGCATAAGGTGAAAAAGCCAGATCTTTAATACTGTTTTACTGGCCTATTGGGTGACAATTTAAAATAAATGCAAATCTACGAATAAATAAGACTATATTTTTATAAAGGAAAGTAAACAATGAGCAGTGTCTTAGTTCCTCAATAATATACTTTTTACTGATTACCTATTCCACTTGTATTTGCAAGGGAAGTGTTAAGTATACGATTACGTTTGGCCTTAGCCATTTTGCATTGATTTACAGTGGCAGCAAATCGCAGCGATTTCAGAGATTCCACGAAACAGTCTTGAAGCGGAGCAATATTTATAAACATCAGCGTCTTTGAGTTGCCTCCCAAGGAAGGCATTAGTAAATGAGTCAACTTAGAGTTTCGATAAGGTATGTGATCCTGTTTCTGTAATAGTGCCAATATTACGTTTGTCAGTTCAGAGAGCGATCTATTTATATTTTTTGTTTCGTTCATGCGAGTACTTGTTTTTGGCGATTCCGAACCGGCCAAATCGACAAGATTTATGGAACCAATAGATAATTCCTGTTTCTTTGCGTGTGTACCAATGAGTTCTATTTTGGTTACTGCATGTGATCTGGATGATCGTTCATTTCCAACCGTAGCCGCCGTGGCACGATTCATCTTGGCAATTTGCATGAGCTCCCGGAGACGTCCCGCGCTCCCCACTGTCTCGTGTGTTATATTTGATACGTATATATCATTCTTACTGTTTTTTACCATACGAATCTCCATATCTTTTTGTTCATTACTCAGCAGGTCGTAAAGTACCTCGTTGTAAATTTCAAGAAATGTCACCTTTATTTCATATTCCCAGCCTAAGTGCCGATAATTCTTGATTGAATCAAAAAGCAAATCCACTGTCCTTGGTATAACTCCAGGATTTGATGGTATACCATCCATTGTGTATGTTTTTCCGCTACCCGTCTGCCCATATGCGAAAATACAAATGTTATACCCGTCAAGAGCAGACTGTATTAGTGGTGATACCATTTCAAATATTGACTCCTGTTCTGACGAGTGATCAAATACTTGATCAAAAGTAAAAGTATGTGCGATTGATTTTCCCTTCGCTGTAGGTTCAAAACTGGCTATTTCCATAGTTGCTTCATCCAGATAACTCAAATTACATAGCATTTTGTCCCTTTCACAATCCAGTGGTGGACGAACTCGACAAAATACCCGTATATTGCCACGCAAATCTAACACGGTGTTGTGCAGCTCCTTTCGTTCCATATTTGAACGGAATAATAGTTCCTTACATATTGCAATTTCATCCAATAATGTTGCGTTCCTATCGGCCAGTGTTGATGTTCTATCACGCAGCTCTTCAACTTCCGAAAATAATTCCGAATGTTCAAGTTTTATTTCCTAATAAAATTATATTTTTTAATTTACCTAAGGAAACGGAAAATGAATTACTTACTTTATATGCTTTAGTTAATTTTTCCAGTTCTTCTGTGGTTTTGCTCAAGTTTTCAACGATGGAATTATATTTTTCTTGCAGCAATGTTTTCTCGCGCATTAAGCATTCGTTCATGGTTTGAGTGTTTCTGAGTTCTTCTTTCGTTGTTACCAATTGTTTTTCAGTGTCCTCTAATACCTCTGGCAAATTTTCCAGATTGTTCAGTTGTTCCGTTTTTTCTTCTAGCTTATCCTTAAGAATCTTGTGCTTTTCCAAAAGGTCATTGAACCTGGCCTTAAAATCGTATGCGGGAATGCGCTTAGTTGCAGTTTTTGCAGTTATTGCGGAGGAGTTTGAACTAGTATTATTTGCACTTTTTTGATTAGTTAATGCTGGTCGACCTCCTCCGATAGTTTTCGTTGTATTGACAGTCGGAGGTTTTTTTAAACTGGTACTGCTTGCTGCAGTAGCAGACGTACCAATACGTGGTGGTTTATTTGTGTTAGATCCCAGTGTTGTAGATAACGGCATCCGCGAAGTCTTTGCAGGGATTGGGGCAAGAGTAGATTCTGTCCGTTTCAAAGGCCGCATGTCTCGAATATCGCAAGCCGAACGACTTCTTCTCATTTTAGCACGCGACGCTCCGCCGTAATTTGAAGCAGCAGCTTCTGGAGATGCCGCCCGTTCTAAAACCAAAAAAAATAAAATTACTGAAAATTATCTGCGCAATTATACAAAATAAGTTACCTCTACGAGTTGCATTATCATAACTGGAAAAGTTAGTTATATCGCGAGGAAGCTGATTATAGGTATTCAAAGACTGTGCACTCCCGCTGAATAAATGCGTTTTGTTGCCAAAATTGCCGGTAAATGATGTCGCTTTTATTCTTTCCATGGGCAGTATAGTCCTTGAAATAGGCGCAGGCCTCTTCAATGCTGAAGGCTTTGGTAACTTGGATTCCATTTTTGTTCCAATTAATCAGATACATTAACTATTTACTTTTTCCAAATGATCGTGCGTTTCTTTCTTTATAAATTGTGCGCCGTTATTTCGATTTTGAAACTAAACAAGACGCCAAGAGAACGAAGGCTTACGTAGTTCGATTTTCGACTAATCGAAATGATGAAATCGATAATCTATTGGATTTGCTCGATTGATGCAATGCTATATTCTGCTGCCAAAATACACAAATGCATGTCATGTTCTCATTAGCACTTACTTACTTATGCTATGTTCTCATTGCACTCTCAATCACGTTGTTCGCCCTCAGAATTATTTACACGAATTAACTCGTTCATATTATGGTACAATAAAAAGGTAATGCTAGGAACACAATTGGAGCGAACGACGAATTTTTCGAGGCGTATGTTCGTCGTCAAAAATAAAAAACATATGTGTATATGGAAATGCACACATTTCGTCGGGCGCCGCGAACTCAATTAGCTTTATTTCTATTTCATACGCCGGCGAACGGCGAAAAAAACAGTACGAGGTGGCCATACTTGTACGAATTTTATGTGTTTTAGTAAATAAAGTTACTTTTTACTTTAAAATTTGTTATGGTCACTCTACTATTAGTTACTCGTATAAAAAAAACATAATTAATTTGTTTATTTGTTTGTGTACTTGCGCCTGAGTGAAGAAGCAGATAAGCTTTTACTATAATATACATTATGTTAATTATTTTAACAATTTTAATAAACTTTACAATGTTCTGATTCAATGTAGTCAACAAATGAGCAAAAATTAAACAACTTCATCAGCTGTTTTATAATTTCGTCGGTATTGTGTTCCATATGACGAATTTACGCGGCTCATTTTGTCGCCGCGTAGGGCGAAATTCGTCGTTCGCTCCAATTGTGTTCCTAGCATAAGGTAGAGCTTCCAGCAAGGTAGATGTACTAGGTAATCGCATCAGCCCAGCTGACGGCACCATTAAATGTCAAAACAAATTGTTGTAATAAAGAATTCGCCCTAAATGAATGCAACAACAAATTTGTTTATGTTGTCTTCCCTAAAAGTACCTTTTTATAATATTTCAAATAATTTAAGAGCAAGTTTAGAGTGAAACAAGTAAAAAAAAATTAAAAGAAAATGAAGGAAGGAGGTTAGAATGGAGTGCAGCTTTAAGAATTAAGTTAGCCTCAACATCTAAGATTCCCAAAGCACATCACGGGAAGTAGTGCAAGAATTCGACTCTTGCCATTTGCAGTTCCGGAAAACTTTCGGTTTAAACCAGTAAAATATAGTCATTATAAGTTTCTTGGTTTAAAAAATATCGCAATACTACAATGAATACTTATTTTACTCTTATTTGTTTTACAATAAAAACTTTTATTGCGACGTTCGTTTACGACGAGAGGCACACAAAATAAAATGTAAACAAAGACCTCGTTTCTGATTGGTTGAAACAAATTTGCCGCAACCTTTAAATGTCATGGCGAATCTATGTTTTTCGCCTTAGATGCCAATTTTGACATTTGAGGGAACCACAAAAGTTGCTTTGTTGTAGCAAATTCGCCGATGCGGTTACCTGTTAGATCTACCTTGGCTTCCAGATTAAATTTGTTTCTGAGTGTGCCCGACTTCTGCCAATTTTGTGTTTGAAAATTAAAACATTTTTTTTTTTCAAAACCAATGATTGGAAGACACGTATATTACGGCTCGCGCATTAAAGCTATTAACCAGTTTAGACATGAAATTGAAAGATTAATTTATTTCTATGACTTTGTTTTTGAAAATATCCAAATTTCGTTATAATCAGAATGCTTTTTACAACGTATGTATGTACAAAATTTACACTTTTTGTCGCCAAGTAAATCTTTAGAGATTTAAAGATTTTGAAAAGAAAATTTGACCATTCATTAATTTTTCGCGCTTTTTGAAAATAATAATAATATTAATAATAATAATAATAGTAATAGTAATAATAATAATAATAATAATAATAATAATAATAATAATAATAATAATAATAATAATAATAATAATAATTATTATTATTATTTTACCTCCCTGGTTTCTGGTCAAATATCAGCAGCAGCAGGAGCAACTACAACCGTGAAAAAAGCAGTTGGTTTTTTGTTGTTTTGAGATTTTGGCGGACTCGTTTCGGGTTACATGAAAATCGATTTATGATGAGTAGATGGTTGGATGGATGATGGGATGGCAGCAACACGTCCGTCGCCTGACGTATTCATGATTAATGTTGAGCGTTGATTTGAAACAAAAGCGGCAGCAAAAAAAATGAATGAGTTGTATGTTTTTTTCGATTGGATGTTACAAAACTTCTGGTAAGTTCAAAAATCTTATTACTTTTTTTTGCAAAATTGTAACTTGACAGGCGCCATTTGGCAGCGGATGTTTGTGCGATATTAGAATTGTGAGCGATAATATTGTTATGGTATTGTTATGAGATTTTGTTTACTGATCTTAAGTGTCATATTGAAATTTTATTCTGATTATGCGTCAGGTACCAGATATAGCAATACGTTGTCACACTTCATCTAATACAGATAAAATATTGATATGGGCGAAATTACTTAGAGGAGTTACAAACGCAATAACAAAGTTAATATACCCTCCATAGGAAATAAAAATAAAAAAAAAATTAAAGAGGGGAGAAATTCTCCCTATAGTTAGGTTACTTTGCTATGTAACCTTTCAAAATACCTATACAAATGTCTTTTATTTATTTATTTATTTATACTTTCATAATCTGTTGGATTTTTCCTATAAAAATTGTTTGTGTTGCACAGTGTAATTAATGTCATCTCACAGCGGAGTGCTTCAAATTGAATCATCTTTTCGTCAAAACCCCTTTGCAAACTGTAATTATTCTATTACCTCTATGATATTCATTTAAAATATCAATTACATTCAATGTTTACAACTACCTTCCAAGTGGCTAAATAACTAGTTTTGCCTCTTCAACACAAGAATGCTCACGAAATTTATTTAAAGCCTTTCAACGATTTCAACAATTCATCGCAATCGGAGTAATTGAGATGGAAAATTTCAATTTTCTTTTTTAAAAATACCAAACCTTTTTATTTTCAAATTTTATATTTCAACATTCCATCTCCAAACGAATGTTCCACACTCACCGTTAACAATGAACAAATCCTTGTTCAATGTTCAAACTTAATCAAAATTTTCATTGAAGGGTGGTGGTGGTGGTGAGAGGATGGTGAAAGGAAAAATAGCTGGTATGTCGCAAAGCAAACATAAAATTTAATTTAACAAAATGACCACTAAATTGCAATTGACGTTGGAGGAGGATGCAGCGGCCATTTTCCAAAAGCAAATCCACCGTTAACGTTTGGCGGTTTTCTGTAGGACTAAAGAGTAAATCATTTTTACTGGAATGTTCAATCAGGGCCTAGGGGCGAAACGTTAGTGGATTTCGGGGAAGCTGTTAGTGGCCATAGTTGCCAAAATCTACTTAAAGGATTCATGTGTTTTTCCTATAGGGACCTACCAGGCTGTACACATGCAAAATCAATTGCAAGAAATCAAACATTTATCCAATACCACTGCACACAACAACTAGTGGGAAAGGCTTTGCATGAAATAGTAGTTGCATGAAACAGTAGTTTATAAAATGAAAGCTAGAAATGGAAGAAAAGTGTATCAGCGTTTTGAAACTTTCCATCGCAAAATAACGTAAATAGAGGATGCAAGTCGCCCCTTTTCTAATTTTCTTGAAATTTTCGAGTTAAGATTCCTTGGATCATTAAATTCATCCGAATTTTATGTTTTTCAAAAAATTTCCTATAGCTCTTAGAAAATCACAGCAAAAATTGGACATTCATTGAAAGTTTTTGCGAGGATTTCAAGAATCCGTTGAAAAACTGATTCCATACCAAACATCTTAGGAATATTGTAAACATCTATGGCAAATGTTATTCATTTATCGGTCATCGCTAAACCGACTTATAATTATATGCTGATATCGAATATATGAAGTATATGGGGACTCTGTTAAATATTTGGAGGTGTTGCGAACGGAATGACAAAGTTACTTAAAAGAATGGTGGAAGGTATAACAAGTAAACGAATTCTACGTTGGATCCAAATTTTAGATATAATTCGGATGATATAATTATATTAGATATCATTGAAACAAACGGCTGGATATTTGTAATTCTAAAAATGGATCGCCACTCATTCTAGGAGAACTCTTTAGCATATTATAATATTTAAATGACGCGAAGATGGACAATATCGGTCCGCCGCTGTAGTACTTTCCCCACTCAAATTAATTTTGAATTATTTTCAAATTTTGACTGCAAGGGCTGCTAAAATTTCTTCGCACTCAAAATATCTATGGGTCATACACTGGACCATAAATTAAGGTGGACATAAAACGTCGAAGGTACATATATCGCATTACTTCTGACAAATTCCAACAGTAAAAACTGGGAAATAAAGTCAAAATCATTTATTGGATTTTTGTTTCGATGGGTTTTTCCATCTTGACCTATGGAGGTCTAATAGCATGTGCTGGTAGCAAAAAAAAAAAAAACAAATAAAAAGCAGGTAAGTTCGGCCACCATTTGGAAAATTAAAAAAAATCGCAAAAATACCGTCAAAATAAAAACTGTCATATGGGATCTAGAAGACGTGGACTTGCATAAGCTGTAGTACCGATTCCGAAATTCAAATGTGAAATTTGAATCAATTCCGGGTTATCCGGGAGGTGGACCTGCATACGCAACTTTGTCAAATACAATAGTATCCATTAAGACCTTCAAATACGCAATTTGAAACAATTCCTGTGAATAATTTCGCTTAAATCATAAAAGTACCGAATAAAGGGAGGTACCGTTATGAGGCGCTATACGAAAATGTGGGCCGATATGACCCATTTACGAACTTAACCTGCCTACTGACAAAATACACATATGTGTCCAATTTTAGCCCTCTATCTTAATTCGTTCGAAAGATAGCGTGATTACAACGGACGGTCGGACAGACAGGCAGAAGGACATCTTTACTTAAAATTTTACGCTGATCCAGAATATGTATACTTTGTAGGGTGTAACATTTCGAGGAGTTAGAATGGTATCAAAAAAATAAATTAATAAGTGGTCGTCTACCTTATAGACTTCTGGACCTTCAATTCTAGGCAGAGTGGTAAGTCTAATTCCCCAAAGTTTAATTCAACGGTTGGATCCTTCAAACAGCAGGGATTTGTAACATTCTTGTTGGACGTGATAGAATTTGCCGTAAATATTCCCATTTTGAATGCTATTGGATGAATTGAATGAATGAATATTGAATGTTCGAAGTTTCATGAAAATGCGATACTTACTTTGCTTTCTATGAAATAGAAATCTTGCTGTACATCCGATCAATCCATTCGCGTCTGAGCTCAAATAATGTGTGGCAAAATTTTCAATCAATCTTCAAATCTTTAAGAAAAATATTTTAAATGTATTTCTTTCTATTTTCTATTTCTTTTTAATTTTTACAAAATTTTGACAAACAATATTCAATTCTGAAAGCCTTTTGACTAGAATGAACGAGTATCCTAAGCGACTGCTCCCTGCAAAGCAATTGCAAAATCTGAGAAAAATACAGCTTCATCTCCAATAGTATTAGGACTCTACTCTGATAATAGCTATGAGGATTGGACCATAATTGCGACCTCTAGAGTGAGTACAATTGTGAAAAAAAAACAAGTAAGAAAGCAGTAAGTTCGGCCGGGCCGAACTTTGAATACCTTCCACCATTTCGAACGAATTAGAAAATTTTCAAAAAAAAAAAAATATAATATAAAAAGTTCTGTTATAATCTTAAAATACCTAATATCGGATGGTGCTGATATATGGGGGGATATGCGATATTGTGGACCTATATAGACAAATCTATGTCTGGGGGTAAAGTACTCACAAATAACTCCTTGTGTAGAATTTCAGACAATTCCGTTGAAAAATGTTGCTAAAATCATCAAAATACCGAATATCGGGGGTACCGTTATATGGGGGCTATACGATATAGTAGACCTATATAGATAATTCTCTTCCAAGGGATAAGGTACTCCCAATGAATTCCTGGTGTGGACTATAAGACAATTCCAAAAAGTGGCTGAAATCATCAAAATACCGAATATCGGGGGTACCGTTATATGGGGGACATATTATATCGTGGATCTATATGGACAACTCTCTTTCAGGGCGTAAAATACTCACAAAGAACTCCTTGTGTAGAATTTCAGACATCAAAAATACCGAATATCGGGGGTACCGTTGTATGGGGGCTACACGATATCGTGGACCGATATAGCCCATCTTCGAACTTGACCTGACTGCAGACAAAAGAGAGATCTGTGCAAAATTTTAGCTTTCTATCTTAATTCGTTTAGACTGTAGCGTGATTACAACAGACGGGCGGGCGGACAGGGCTAAATCGTCTTTGAATTTTACGCTGATCTAGAATATATATACGTTGTTGGGTCTAAAATGATTATTTCGAAGAGTTACAAACGGAATGACGAACTTAATATACCCTCCTTACTATGTATGGTGGAGGGTTTACAAACGAGGTTGATTTTTTCGCTAGGTTACATGCCAGACACCTTAGGAGTATTATAATGGCAAATTTTATTATTTTACCTTGAAAATTATAAACTTTGTCTTGATTTCAAGAGACTGACATTATAAATCTACTCAGAAATATCGAATATATGAAGTTTACGGGAACTGAAATATTTAAGCATTAAATCGGATGAAACATATGTATATATGGGAGCTATATAAATCGATTTTCCCCAAATGTGAAGTTCTTGTTAATGCGCTGAATTTGGTTGGATTTTCCGAAATACATCCTATTTGGACGAATAATAAACATTTGGTGCACAATAAAATTTAATTCGGACGAAGACATATATGGAAGCTTTATCGACACAGAAAGTGATTCTATGAGGTTTCCTTCTCCACGTTACAAACAAATGTACAAAGACCGTTGGTCTGTTCCAAAACTGCATGTTACTAGGATAACAGATTTTCCCTTTATCATATCAAAACCAGTCGTAAAGTCGGGCGGGGCCTTTATGATACGCTAGACCACTTTGCATATTTGGTAGAGCTTCAACCCCGTCCCCTTTTCAATTCGGGTTTGTATTATACATTTGGTGCACAATTAACTTGAAATCGGATAGATATATATATGAGAGCTATGTCTAAATCTGAACCGATCTCGATAAAATTTGGCAAAGGTATTTCTGAGCTGTATTTGATATATTCGCGAATATCGTTACTACGGAGTTCATATTACGGCTATGCAGGGCAAATTCAACAAATCGGATGAACAATATGTATGGGAGCTGTAGCTATATCTGAACCGATTTCCACCAAATTTGACATACTGGTTTCTAAACTCAATTCGGTCGTAAGTGCCAAATTTCATCCAATTTGGGCAAATCTTAGACGGATGAACAATATATATGGGAGCTGTAGCTATATCTGAACCGATTTCGATACTTATTTTCAGGTCTATTTTGGTTTTATGTGAAAAATTCCATACTATTCGGGCTCATATTACACGTTTGGTGCACAATAAAATGCAAATTGGACGAAGATATATATGTGAGCTATATCTAAATTTTTACCGATTATCTCCAATTTCAATAGGGTTCGTCCTTGGGCCAAACAAATGATTTGTGCAAAATTTCATCTGGATCGGGTAATAAATGCGAACTGTACTTTGTCCACAAAAATACATGGACAGACGGACGGACGGACATGCATAAATCGACTCAGAATGTGATTCTATGCAGGTTCGTCCTTGGGCCAAACAAATGATTTGTGCAAAATTTCATCTGGATCGGGTAATAAATGCGAACTGTACTTTGTCCACAAAAATACATGGACAGACGGACGGACGGACATGCATAAATCGACTCAGAATGTGATTCTATGCAGATCATCAAAAGGAACTATGGGTCTATCTCGTTTCCTTTTGCCTGTTAAAAACAAATGCACAAAGACATAATACCCTGAACACCTTGTGGTGTAGGGTATAAAAATGAGCGCAAGAACTTACACCGCAACGGAAAGAAAATAGACTCAAAAGAGCTAAAGATTTGCTTCGCTTGGCCGATGGTCGCTCTCCGCTCGTATTAATCGACCGTGGCATCAGATTAAATGCCGAATATTATGTCGAAAATATTCTGGAGGGATATTCTGACAGGGCTCAGCACGCGCCACCCAAGAATGGTTACAAAATGAAGTTCCTCGCTTCATTTCCAGCGCAAAATGGCCACCAAAATCTCCGGATACCAATCCGTTGGAGTATTGTTTCTGGAGTATTTTGAAAGCAAGGTTGGCACTGAAAAATTTCAAAGTGCCGATCACTTCTAGCAAGCGCTCCGCCGAGAATGGGCCAAAATCACGCAGAGCAAACTTTCGGACAGCGTGTGGCGGTTTCATTGGCCATTTGAATGCCATAATTCGTGCCAAAGGTGACCAATTCGAACAAATCTAAACTTATTCTAAAATTTGATGCTGTTTCCTACATTTTTTGCCTTCATTCAATAAAATTAAAAAAAATGTCAAAATTACGGCGTTTGACTTTGTTGCAGTTTTTTTATCTTACCCTGTATAGTGCCGAATATCAAGTCGTTTAAAACATATATATGAGAGTTATAACTATATCTGAACTGATTTACACTAAATTCTATAAGTTTATTCCTAGTCTAAATGCTGTCGATTGTGCCGAAATCTTTCCCATTTGTATGGTATGTACAGTAAAACCCGCTTAAGTACTTTGCCTTAATTTGACAGCATTTTGAGTTACTTAAGCGGGTAGTGTACTTAAAAGAACCCGCTTTAGCACCTTAGGTTGGGTACATAAAGAGACCCGTTTTAGTACCTTCTGTTAGGTAGCAAGACATTTTAAGAATATTTTGAGAATATTGAAAATAACTTATTTAACACAAACAAAAAATTTTATTAAAAAAAATTAAATAATTTATTTAAACTCAAACAAAAAGTTAATTTAACAAAAAATATTTTGATTATTAATTAAAAACACATTTCATTTGTCTTTCATTTAAAAAATGTATTTTATGTGCGTGCATAATACATATATTTAAAACAAGGCTAGGCAAAGAGTATCCCTTGGGATATCTGTGTGTTCACCAACACAATTTTAAAAAATAAATTGTTTTGAATTTTCTGTCAAAATGGTTTTGGGAAAATATTTAGTTTTGTTCGAGCAGTCGTTGAGGAAGGTGCTGTCGGATATTTTTATGAATACACCGTAAGAAATATTGGAGCACAAATATATCTTACTACATATTCGGAACAAATATTTCCGAATTTGTAAAAATTACAACTTTTGACATTTATCTTTTCTGATTGAATTCTATTTGACAAAATTTGCATACGAATTCACATGTTAGGAAGAGAAATTCATTTAACATTGATAAATTTATTGTCCTTCCAAATTAGTGGACATTTTCATATCCTTTGATTTCTCTGAAATTATATGTACGTTCTTAGTCAATTTTAGGAAAAATAGCAAGATGCGATGTTTATCATTCTATTTGTAATACATAGAAATAATCTTTTAGAACCCAATGCAGGATATGAGTTTCTGATCAGCATAAAATTCAACGACTATTTGCGTCTGCCAGCCTGTGGAAATCGGAATCGGATTTTTAAAGGGTCAACATAGATGGTTAGCATGTTATGTCCGAAATTATTAAACAAAAATAACATCAAAATTATATAAAATTTCTGAAAATGTCAACTTATATATTTTTTAATTTTAAAATGAATCATAATTGAAATAATTCTACAAATATATCTCCGAATTGTCTGTCAAAACATTAATTTTTTACCAACGAAGTTATTTTAAAAACAGAAAATTTTAAATTGAAAATTTAAAGATAATAAATTATTTCTCACTCTGTAAAGAGAGTCAAATTAACACTTGCAATATTTTGTTATTTTAAAACACATACAATCACAAAAAATTTTTGAGGCTCTCTGCCATGGTAGAATTACAAGGTAACCCTTTCAGGCCAGCTGGTATCAATTTGATATGTCAAAAAATTGTTGTAATTTGAATTCGCCTTCATTTACACATAAGAAAATTGTTGCATGATTTCAAACTTTAACAATGCTATTGATAGAAAATCGAGATTTTACGTTTTTATAGAATATGAGGGAAAAAGTGTATATTCAACATATGGTAGGCATAGGTAATATGGAGATCTAAAATTCGTGGATATTTGAAATAAGTGAAACAGGGAATCAATTTCATTTAGGAAATAAACCGATACATGGAATTTCATCATCTTATTTGTACGGATTTTCAACTATGTTATACACTATAGGGCTTCAACAGTGAAAGGTGAATGATTCCAAAGCATATTGGATTGGTTTGGGGAACAAAATATTGGGAATTTTTGGGGTGTGATTAAATATTGAGATAATTTTTTTATTTCAAATTGTTCGAATGTATTAAAGTTATCTATGCTTAAAAGACTTCCTGTCTGCTATACATTTCATAGCTGAGCAAATAATATGCCTGGACTCACAGTAGACTCAGCCCCCCCTTCTGCAATCTTTGATCCAAATCTTAAGTAAGCCTGAGGAGTAAATATACCCTAAAGTACCTTTTAGGTAGCATGTCACTACAGCGAGAAAGCTGACGATGTAGCAAAAGAAAAAAGGGTACACCCCAGAACCACCACAAAACCTAATTTTAAAGCATCAAAAATAATTTTCCGGATATTTCCTTTAAAGAACATTATCGCAGTTGAATATGAAATCAACGTTGCCAACGTTACCAAGACTGCATGCTGTGTAAGGATGATGAAGAGATAACGATTGGACATCTATTATCGCAAATGTCCTTCGTTGGTGCGCTGGAGACTACAATCACTCCATTTCCAGTCTATGTGATTTTCAAAAATGTTGTATTGAACGTGCTATAATCAAACCAAGATGCAGCGGCTTCAGCATTACTTTCAATCGATGTTGGAAGTTTTGAATATTTGCTTTTGTAATAGAAAAAAACACAATTTTGAAAATTTTTAATTCAATATTTTGATTGGAAAAATAATTTGCCCCAAATTTTGTACTTCAAATCAATTCGCCCTGACTACAACTTTGACATATCAAGTTTCCAAAAAAGTTGCTTTGTTGTAATTTTCGCCTATGTTGCTACCTGGTATTTCTACCATGCTCTCTGCCTTGCCCTGATTTAAAACATATGTATTTTTTATGAGATCATTTAAAATAAAGTTGATTTCAAAAATAGTTTTAAATAGCAAAAAAGTCAGTAATTTTCTTTTGACGCATGTTTTGAAACTTTGTTTTTTAAAAAAACTTTTCTTCTAACATTTCAAGTTCATCAAATTCAAGATTATTGCTCTCCATATATCTCTTCACTGTTTCTAGTGCTGTCAGCGCTTCTGCAAAAGAGGGTGGGTTCACTTCAAAAGTATTTTCCGTAGTATCTTCAGATGGTGACACCTCGCCATCGTTATCTTCCAAAATACCTGACAATATTTCTTCCTCTGTAAGTGGGCCAAAGCATTCAGTATCCTTATCAAAATTTACATATTCCTCAAACTCTTGAGCGTTTATGGGAATGTCTAAAAGTGTTTCTTCATCGCCATTAGGAAAATAATTTTGAACAACAAATCCGGCCTAAAAATAAAATATTAATTAAGAACTGTTAAATTTTGTCAGGTTTATAAAGAAAAAAAATATTGACCACGCCTACTTTTACGCCCACTATCTTGATTTATTTAAAATCTTTATATTTGCCAGATAATGAAGATATCGGTTTGAAAATTATTACACGAGATACTGTTGACTTTCCCTCCAAACTTAGGAATTTATTTGGGCGCCAGGGAACTGAACACGCATACTTCTAATCTGTCTATATATATAAGGAAGTTGTGTTAGTTACTACGCTTATAACTCAAAAACCGTTAGACTTACTATTTAGACTTACTATTTCGGAATTTACACTTGTAGTTTTTTTTTTTTTTTTTGAATTCTAATATGATGTGTACTCTTTTTGGGTAGTAGAGAAAGACGAAAACTATGGAGTGGCGGAACTGAATAGATGATGTCAAAATAATTTAACGTGGTCAAATCAAAATTGCTAAAAAATCAAAAAGGAGCATATTGCCCTGCAAAAACTCTAAAATAGGGAAAAACTGAGAACATTTTTTCAATGGAATCAAATTTCAAAATAATAGTAAGTCCAAACTTCGTAAGGACCTTTAAATATTGGCTGTAAAAAAACAGCGAACAAGTTGAAGATTTTTTTTCAATTTGTTTATTAGTTACTATGCTTATAACTCAAGAACGTTTTGACGGATTTTCACAATTCATACAACTAAAATATGCCAATAAAAATATAAAAGAAACCAGTAAAGAAAGTCTTAAAGTTGGGCGGGACCGACTTTATGATACCCTACACCACTTTGCTAATTTAGTAGAGCTCCACATAACAATTAAAAGTTTTTATGGGAGAATTCAATCATACACGCTATCATTATAATTATATTTTAAAGTTCAAAGGACTAAATATGCCGAAGCATTTGTATCTTTTAAATTCGGAATTGTATTGCCCATTTGGTGCACAATTAATTTGAAATCGGGTAAAGATATATATGGGAGCTATATCCAAATCTGAACCGATCTCTATAAAATTTGGCAAAGATATTTCTGAGCTATATTTGAGGTATTTCCCTGAATAACGTTGTTAGGGAGTGCATATTACGGTTGTGGGTAACAAATATAAAAAAACGGGTGAATAATATATATGGAAGCTATAGCTATATCTGAACCTATCTTCACTAAATTTGACATACTAGCTTCTAGACTCAATTCGGTCGTAAGTGCCAAATTCCATCCCATTTGGACAAATATTAGACGTTTGGTGCACAATAAACGGTAAATCGGACGAAGTTATATATGGGAGCTATATCCAAATCTGAACCGATCTCGATAAAATTTAGCAAATGTATTTTTGAGCTGTATTTGATATATTTCCCCAAATATTGTTGCTGCAGAGTGCATATTACGGCGGCGGTGGACAAAAATAACAAATCGGATGAACAATATATATGGGAGCTATAGCTATATCTGAACCGATTTTAGTCAAAATTGGCAAACATATTTTCAGGTCTAATTTGGGTGTATATGCAAAATTCCATACAATTCGGGCTGATATTACACGTTTGGTGCACAATAAAAGGCAAATCGGATGAACATATATATGGGAGCTATATCTAAATTTTGACCGATTACCTCCAATTTCAATAGGGTTCGTCCTTGGGCCAACAAATGATCTGTGCAAAATTTCATCTGGATCGGGCAATAAATGCGACCTGTACTTTGTTTACAAAAATACATGGACAGACGGAAGGACGGACATGCATAAATCGACTAAGAATGTGATTCTATGCAGATCATCAAAAGGAACTATGGGTCTATCTCTTTTCCTTTTGCCTGTTACAAACAAATGCACAAAGACATAATACCCTGACCACCTTGTGGTGTAGGGTATAAAAATCCTTTTGGCGTAAAATTTTTTCAATTTAAAAACTATATAGAAGTGTACATTTTTTATTGTTTTGAATTCTGAATGAATAATATCAAAAATGAATTAGTACGCAATAAGATGATAAATGGTGATCTTTCATGTCTGAAATTGGCTTTTAGCTTTCAACTCCAGGATCTACATCGTGCTTCAGCTGGAAGATGCGAACAAATTTAAATAAACAAAAATAACCGACAAAACGTTATGGGGCTCATTTCAACACGTGGACCTACCTACTTCTATCACATGACACTAATCCATCCAATGAGAACTCAATATGCAAAATTCATTGGGACTACATTCAGTGAAATACCGAATATAAAGGGCTCATATTACACGTTTGGTGCACAATAAAATGCAAATTGGACGAAGATATATATGGGAGCTATATTTAAATTTTTACCGATTATCTCTAATTTCAATCAAATTCTTTTAAAATAGTTGACCACTAAGACCCTACCATCCAAGCCTTATTTGGATAGTAATAAGGCAATGGAATAGATTTTCCTCTAAAGCATCTGGGATTCTTTAATTTTCCGATAGCAATCAATTTTTTGTAACTCCCGTCAACATTGTTATTTTTATGAACTTAATACTTTCCCGGCGTTTCCATCGCCATTGCCAGCCATTTTTTGGAATAAAATCGGAATGCAATTTTGCAGATAAGTCTCTGGCTTTTTGGAGGATTTGAGCATCGGTTAACAGTGTATTAATAGCTCTCATCTGGTCAAACCATTGAGCAAGAGCTTTTTCAATGTCATTGTGCGGACTCGTACGTAAACGTTTACGTTGTAAAGTTGCGTTTGCAGCCTCCTCCACTTGTTGCCGATTTCTCCAAATTCTATTAACAGTTGATAAATGAAATGCTGCGCAATTTCATTTTTCGTTTTTGCTTTTTCTTCAATCAAGTGCAGAATTTGTATTTTTTGCTTAATTGTCAAACTTGTAAGTCTTCGCCCTTTGCCAGACATTTTTACGAATCACACAAAAATATTTATTTTGACAGATGTGAGTTTTTAAATAACGATTATAAGGAGTTGCCGTCTTAAAAAAGTGTGTAAGTGTTGCCGTCTTCCTGCGTGTACATAACCGGGGGACAACGTACTTAAAATTACATTTAATGCCTAAAAAATTATGGTACTTAGGCGGGTTGAGTATTTATGCGGGGAGGTAACTAAACGGCTAAATTTGTTCGAGTTTTTACAAAAAACCAAAATACAACGACAGACGGACGGACATGCAAAAATCCATTCAAAATATGATTCTATGCCGATCACTTAAAGGAAGTATAGGTCTATCTCGTTTTCTTTTGTAGGTTACAAAAATGCGTTCTACAGTGCGAAAATACATTTCGAAACCAAATCGGGGTGCCCAAAAAGCAAACCAATAACTTTTCCGTATAAAAAGAACAAAAAATACCAGAAAAACAATCATCTGAAAAGGGCCATGGTCCACGGGGCACCCATTTTCAAAGACAGTAAATCAAGTAAGATCAGGAAGCGTAAGGTTGTTGTCTGCAAGGGCTGATATGAAACTTTCTTCGCACTCAAGAAATCTTTGGGTTATACACCGGGCCATGAATTTAGGTGGACATGAAACGTCGAAGGTACATATTTCGCTATACTTCTGACAAATTCCAACAGTAAAAACTGGGAAATAAAGTCAAAATCATTTATTGGATATTTGTTTCGACGGGCTTTGCCATCTTGACCTATGGAGTTCTAATAGCATGTGCCGGAAATCAGATCAATGCAGTGGCAAAAAACAAATAAAAAAGCATCTAAGTTCGGCCGGAACGAGCTTAATACCTCCACCATTTGGAAAATTAAAAAAAAAAAAAAAATCCGCCGAAAAATGCCGTTAAAATAAAAACTGTTATATGGAGGCTAAAGACGTGGGCTTGCATAGGCTGTAGTACCGATTCCGAAATTCAAATGTTAAATTTGAAACAATGCCGGTCTGTCGGACCCGTATACGCAACTTTGCAAAGACTATAGTATCCATTAAGAGCTTCAAATACGGAATTTGAAACAATTCCTGTTAATAATGTCGCTTAAATCATAAAAGTACCGAATAAAGGGAGGTACCGTTATGACCCATTTACGAACTTACTTGAAAAATGGACATTTGTGTCCAATTGTAGGGACTTCAATTCTAGGCATAGTGGTAAGTCTAAGTCCCCAAAGATTAACTCTCCGGTTGGATCCTTCAAACAGCGGGGAATTGCATCATTCTTGTTGGACGTGATAGAATTTGCAATATCGGTAGGGATGACTGTATGGATTTGTAGATATTTGTAGGCCGTAAATATTCCAATTTTGAATGCTATTGGATGAATTGAATGAATGAATGAATGAATGAATATTGAATGTCCGAAGTTTCATGAAAATGTGATACTTACTTTGCTTTCTATGAAATAGAAATCTTGCTGTACAGCCGATGGACCAATTCGTGTCTGAGAAATTAGTGGCAAAATTTTCAACCAATTCAATTCAAGTCTTTAAGAAAAGTATTTTACTTTTTTTTCTATTTTCTATTTCTTTTTAATTTTTACAAAATTTTGACAAACAATATTCAAAATTTTGCTGTTGAAAACATTAACAAGTAAGTAAAGGTTCAAGTAGACCAAGAACAAGTAATAATTTAATATATTACTTGTGGCATATATTTTTCGCCCTGCGCTTTAATTTTTGCTCATTTATTTAAATATGCTTTGCAGAATTATGTTATGACACCGTTAATCGAATGTATTAAATGTGAGTACGGTTACGGGGTTGGTTATGGCTACGGCAATATTGTATGTCACATATGCCGTAAAGGCTACAGTCGGACATGGCCGATCATGTGATACTTATCCACCACTATAAATTGCGATGAAGTTTTTGTAGATCTGAAAGTCTTTTGACTAGAATGAACGAGTATCCTAAGCGACTGCTCCCTGCCAAGCAATTGCAAAATCTGAGAAAAATACAGCTTCATCTCCAATAGTATTAGGACTCTACACTGATGATAGCTATGAGGATTGGACAATAATTGCGATCTCTAGAGTGAGTACAATTGTGAGAACAAAAGTGAGATAAAACAAGTAAAAAAGCAGTCGGCCGGGCCGAACTTTGAATACCCTCCACCAGTTGGAACGAATTAGAAAATTTTCAAAAAAGTAAAATCAATTAAAAAATCTGTTATAATCTTTAAAATACCTAATATCGAAAGGTGCCGATATATGGGGGGATATACGATATTGTGGACCTATATAGACAAATCTATGTCTGGGGGTAAAGTACTCACAAAGAACTCCTTGTATAGAATTTCAGACAATTCCATTGAAAAATGTTGCTAAAATCATCAAAATACCGAATATCGGGGGTACCTTTATATGGAGGCTATACGATATAGTAGACCTATATAGATAATTCTCTTCCAAGAGATAAGGAACTCACAATGAATGCCTGGTGTGGACTATAAGACAATTCCATTGAAAAATGTGGCTGAAATCATCAAAATACCGCATATCGGGGGGTACCGTTATATAAAGGATATATGATATCGTGGATCTATATAGACAACTCTCTTTCGGGGGATAAAATACTCACAAAGAACTCCTTGTGTAGAATTTTAGACATCAAAATACCGAATTTCGCTAGATTGCATACCATATATCTTAGGAGTATTATTAACATCTATGGCAAATTTTATTATTTTATCTTAAAAATTATAAACTCTGAAAAACCTTGATTTCAAGAGACCGACATTATAAATCTACTCAGAACTTATGCTAATATCGAATATATGAAGTTTACGGGAACTGAAGTATTTAAGCATTAAATCGGATGAAACATATGTATATATGGGAGCTATCTAAATCGATTTTCTCCAAATGTGAAGTTCTTGTTTATGTGCTGAATTTGGTTGGATTTGCCGAAATACATCCTATTTGGACGAATACTAAACCGTTGGTCTGTTCCAAAATTGCATGTTACTGGGATAACAGATTTTCCGTTTATCATATCAAAAAGAGTTGCCAATAATACCCTGATTACAGTGTATTGTAGGGTATAAAAATGAAAAATAATACCCCGACATCGGTCCACTGCTGTATTACTTTTGCCACTCAATTTATAAATATCAAATTAGTTTTTAATTTTTTTTTAAATTATCCCAAAATTGTGAAGAAATGCCTGGATCAAATTTGGAGTTTCTCCTATAAGGAGACTATTCAAAATCTTAAATATGTTTGGCCAATTTTCTGTTATAAGAGGTGGTATCCACTACGAACTCAAAATTTGAAACCTTTCGGATACAGAACATCTGGAGGCACTTATATACACTGACAGTTATTAGGAAGGCCAGAAACCTTTCTATATAGGCAATTGGACAATATGGACCGATATGCCCAATCCAATAAAAATAACATGCATATGAGCGGAATAAAATCATCAATATACCCTTCATCAATGGAATATAGCTCATTCGACTCCGAGCTTCATATATAATAAAAAGTTTGACCGCTATTTTAAGTAAGGATCAGGTAAAAGTAAATAGGGAGAGTGGGAATATTATGACATTGATTTATTCTGTGAGACCAGTACCCTAAATTAAATAATATTGGACAGTTATATGCGAGAATGTTCCATCTTCTGGTATTGCGGTTCAAGGTAAAGAGAAAGAAAAGGGCACAAATAGAACAAAAAAGTTAAGTATTGTTCGAATAGATTCCTCAACGATTTAACTAAAGATATATTTTTTCAACTATATGAGCAATCATCGATGATTTCAATCAATAGATCGACTCAAGAAGAATGTGCTCTTCGGGGCTCTTGACATTCCAACAGAGGGTTTCCATCCACAATAGTAATTTTCACTCACCAAACTTTTAACCTATTGCTGGTAGAAAAAGGAACAAAGAACTATTTCCACTAATAAAAAAATTTACTCATGAACTTGTATTTCAAGCAGAATTTCCAGAACTAAACTTCATTAAGTGCAACTCCTTTATAAACACTTAATGTGTCACGAAAAAGTTTGCCCAATGAACAGCAAAAAAAAATCCTCCACAATTTGTAAAAGTCATTCAAAATCAAAGCTGGCGGCAAAAGGACAACCGCGACAACAAACAACAACAACACCAACGACGTAGAAATACTGGTTAACCTCCTACAAAGGAGTAATAAGTAAAGTTTAGAGAGGGAAAGCGTAGCTTAAAGCATGGTTGGTTATTTTTAATAACGAGTTTGGCTGGCAGCAGTGAAATAAGCTTTTTGTTTTTAGACAAGGACATGTGGTTTTGTGATTTAAGCCGCTGAGAATGTTTCCCGGCCGTACACACATGTGTATGTATATACAATTCACTGAACACACTAACATACAAGCAGATATCCAAACCAAACCAAACGACCGACAGACCGACCGACCGAATGTCTGCAGTGCCACCACATTTACAAATGGTCAATGCATCGAGGTTGAACCAAAAAAGAAAAAATATATATGAGGGCATCAACGTCATCATCAACCTCACGGCAACTGACGTTATTCGCAGTTCGTTTGGAATGCACTCTGGTGGCAGGCGGGCAGGCACCTTCCCGGTTCGAAGTATTTGTTGTGTTGCAAACACACTGGGTGTTGTTTGGGGAATGTTGGAGCTTATTTTGGGGCAATGTGTTCATGGGTGTGTGCGTGTAAATCAAGCGGATATGCGCACATTTTGACCACATAAAACATTTCGAATACCACAAAATTCGAATGTGGTTTCAATTGCCTCGCCAAACATATATGTGGGGCATTTCATGGAAAGACCCATAGTTATTTCTGAGGATCTTCATAGAATCCCTTTCAGAGTCGATTTACGCATGTCTGTCAGTCCGTCCAGGTATTTTTGTGAACAAAATGCAGGTCGCATGTATTATTCGATTGAAATTACATTTTTCAGATTTGGATATAACTCCCACATATATCTTCAACCGATTTCGAATTTATGGCCAATATCAGTTCAAATGACCTGCATTTTGGTACAAACGACCGAATTCAGTCTAGAAGCAAGTACATTAAATTTGGTGAAAATTGGTTAAAATATAGCTATAGCTCCCATATATATATTTCATTTGATTTGGGGTTTTAAGACCCTCACATTCACAGGATGAGATGAAAAAACTCCAACCAACTTCAGACTGCTGTCATTTCCAAGCCACTCGTCCGACAGCTGTTAATGTGAGAGCTCATTATATTATTTACAAGCGTGCAAAAGCATTTTGGTGAGAATTTTCCAGAAAAAAAGTTATTCGTGATGGAATTCAAGCGTGATAGTGTGATTTGTTTATATTTGGCTGGAAAACCACAAGTGTCTATCGTTAGAGCACTCCAGCATTTAAATGTCAATAAATCTTCTAAATCGCTCGTTACCGTAATACTGGTAGCGTAGCCCGACGTCACGGAAGTGAACGGAAGAAAACAACAACATCAGCAGAAACGGTTCCAAAAGAAAAGAAGCGATTTGATCGAAACCCGCGTCGCAGTGGCCGACAAATGGCTCATGAGCTGAACAAATCGCAATATTCCATTCGGCAAATATTGAGCTCGGGGTAAAGCCATTGGGATTCCAAAAAGTGCAAGAACTTACACCGCAAGAGAAAGAAAATAGACTCAAAAGAGCTAAAGAGTTGCTTCGCTTGACCGAAAGTGGTGAACTGCCGAACTTGGTTTTCTCCGATGAGAAAACATTCGTTATCCGGCAGTTTGTAAACAAACAAAATAATTGTGTTTAGTTGCCAAAGAGGTCAACTGAAAATGTGCAACTTCGGTTGGCCACCAGAACAAATGCGCCGGCCATGGTGGGCCGCCATTACAACCAATGGTCGCTCTCCGCTCGTATTTATCGACCGTGTCATTAAAATAAATGCCGAAAATTATAGCGAAAATATTCTGGAGGGTGTATTAAAGCCTTGGGCACGCAAAAATTTTGGCCGCAGACGTTGGACATTCCAACAGGACTCAGCACCTTCGCACTCAGAACGCGCCAAACAAGAATGGTTACAAAATGAGGTTCCTAGCTTCATTTCCCGTGCATAATGGCCACAAAAAATCTCCGGATACCAATCCGTTGGACTATTGTGTCTGGAGTATTTTAAAAAGTAAAGTTGGCACTAAAAAATACCAATGTGTCGATCACCTCAAGCAAGCGCTTTGCTGAGAACGAACCGCAGAGCAACATTCGGGCAGCATGTGACGGTTTCATTGGCCGTTTGAAGGCCATAATTCGTGCCAAAGGTGACCAATTCGAATAAATCTAAACTTATTCTAAAATTTGTTGCTATTTCCGACTTATTCTAAAATTTGTTGCTATTTACGGCGCTTGTTGCAGTTTTTGTCTCAACCGTATATGTAATATCAGCCCAAATTCAATCGATTTTTTCATATTCATCCGAATTTTTCCATTTAGTAAAACTCAGTCCGGCATCTATCTATTACTTCAATAAATATTTTTTAATATAATTCTTATAGAAGTCATGTTACTTGGTACTAGAGGTACAAAAACCATATCCAACTCTGAATCTGAAAATCGATTCAGAGTTGGATATAGTTCCCAAATTGTGATTACTCTAAAGCCACGATGCGGATTCCAATAAGGTTTATAGTTGGTATGATCTACCTCACATAAATTTCCAATATACACTTTTTTGGTACGGTAGCTCTACTAAATACGCATATTGGTGCAGGGTATCATATAGTCGGTCCCCCCGACTTTGACCCTTCCTTACTGGTTTTATAAATCGAAACCAAACATAATTTAATCTTTTAACAACATTTATGAAATAACTCATATCCGACTGTTGCTTTGGCATTGCAACTATTCTGTTTTGTTGTATAATTTTAAGTGAGCGTGTGTCTGTGTATATTTAGTATATTTTTTTTAGAAAATCAAACACTTGATTTTGAGACGCGCGCACACACACGCATAGCCAGACTTGGCCAACAGTCGGTCACTGAACACACACACACACACCAAAAGTGTTGTTCACTTTTCATAAAGTTTTGTTAGTTAGTTCTCATACTCGGCAAGAAAACAAATTCCCTGACCGTAAAGTGATCCTCGATGGTGGGTTTGCGTGTGTGGGGATTAAAAATTCTGGTCATATTTATATATTGCAAAGTAGTCTATTAATTTTTTGGTTTGAAGAACTCTAGGGATGCTTTACACCATACGAGACCACGAGGTGAAACAGATCAAATTTGTTGTTAAGTTAAAAGAGACATAAACGATGAAATGTGCGTAGAGGAATAGAGAACACGTATCACGGACTTTACTTGGGGGGAAATAGTTAGATCGTCTTCTAGTAATCGACTTTCCGACCATAAATTTTTATCTCGACTCAAAAATATGCCACAATATACATAAATTTACGAAAAAATGTTGATTTTATTTTTTGGTAGCCATTGTGCGCTGGAAATGAAGTGGGGAATCTCATTTTGTAACCATTCTTGGGTGGTGCGTGCTGAGTGCGATGGTGATGACTCCTATTGGAATGTCCAAGGTCTGCGGCCAAAATGTTTGCGTGCCCAAGGCTTTAATACACCCTCCAGAATATTTTCGCGATAATGTTCGGCATTTATTCTGATACCACGGTCGATTAATAGGAGCGCAGAGCGATCATCGGCTGTTTTCGCGGCCCACACCATCACCATAGCCGGCGCTTGAGTTTTGGTGGCCAACCGAACGGGCACATTATCAGCTGACCTCTTTGGTACGTAAACACAATCATTTTGCTTGTTTACAAAACTACTGGACAACGAATGTTTCCTCATCGGAGCGGAGAAAACCAAATTCGGCAGTTCAGCACATTCGGCGAAACGAAGCATCTCTTTACCTCTTTTGAGTCTATTTTCTTTCTGTTGCGGTGTATGTTCTTGCACTTTTTGGAATTTCAATGGCTTTTCCCCGAGTTCATTTTTTAATAGTTGCCGAATGGAATATTGCGATATGTTCAGTTCACGAGCCATTTTTTGGCCGCTGCGCGCGGTTTTCGATCAAGTCGCTTCCTTACTTTTCGAACCATATCTGCTGATGTTGCTGTTTTCTATATATATATATATATATATATATATATATATATATATATACAAATAGATAAAGCTGAAAATAGATTTGATGAAGGCAGTTGTTGGCCGGCCTCTATATATATATATATATATATATATATATTTCATTCATTCTTCGCGCTTTTTAAATCATTTTAAAAATGAGGAAAAAATGAAAAAAGTGAGTACAATAAGCAGGTTGAATAGCTTCGTAAAACTACAAAAATACAGCCCTGAGGCTATGCCCGCTTCCTGTCAGACTCATTCAAAATTATTGTTTTCACTTTTTTCAATTTTTTCAAAATTATTGTTTTCACTTTTTTCATTTTTTCCTCATTTTTAAAATGATTTAAAAAGCGCGAAGAATGAATAAAATGACTGGATTTTTCTCTCAAAAATATGATCCTAACCATTCAATTTCATGGCTATATTGGTCAATAGCTTTAATGCGCGAGCCGCAATTTATGTGTCTTCCAATCATTGGTTGTGAAAATATTTTTGTTTTAATTTTTTAAAACAATAAATACATACACAAAATTGGCAGAAGTCGGGCACACTTAGAAAAAAATTGTAATCAGCTGTTAGTTCTACCTTACCTTTTTATTATACCATGGTTGAAACTTACTTTGAATTGACTTTTTTCATAAATTGCAGGAGGCATTGAAAACTTTATTACATGGGTTGACACATTTTTTTTAAAAAATTAATTTAATTTTGAATTTTGAAATTCAATATCGAAAGCTTTCTTTTATTGGTGTTACGTATAAGAGGATCCATTAATGGAATACCTTAGAGAAGCGAAGCAATTTAGCTTACAAAATATCAATAACCAGAAAATCCGTGTCCGTAATTGGTTAACCTCTTCAATTCTTTGTATTAGTTCCATGAATGATCTGTTACGATGGGAAGGTGCTGCCGGTGAAAAACAAGAAAAGTGGAAGAATTCAAGGGTTTCTCTTGATTACAAAGTTCTGATCTAGGTAAATATGTAAATTTAATTTTTTCGTTATAAGGTAAATTGACTGATAATTTTGTTGTTCCATACAATATAAACTTCCCCACAATGACGAAAGAATGAGGATACATCATTCGAGTCTTTAGACCTAGGGTTACCGCAACTCGCCACATTCCTTCCTTTTTATACCCTACACCACATAATGGTAAGGGTATTATGTCTTTGTGCATTCGTTTGTAACATGGAGAAGGAAGCGAGATAGACCCACAGTTACTTTTGAGGATCTTCGTAGAATCACATTCTGAGTCGATTTATGCATGTCAGTCCGTCCGTCCATGTATTGTTGTGAACAAAATGCAGGACGCATTTATAATCCGATTGAGATGAAATTTTGCAAACAATATTTGTTTGGCCCAAGGACGAACCCTATTGAAATTGGTGGTAATCGGATTAGGTTTAGATATAGCTCCCATATATCTTAAACCGATGTCGGGTTAATTGTGCACCAAATGGCCTGAATTTCGGCATATCCGACCGAATTCAGACTAGGTGGTGTTTTGTTACGGGGGCTCTACTAAATATGCATAGTGGGGTAGGGTATCATATAGTCATCCCCGCCTATCTTTTGACTTTTCATTACTGGTTTATTATAACCAAAACTGATATATAGAGAGGATATCACATGTTGGATTGGCATACAGTTTCTACCAACACAATTTCCACCACAACTTTTTTGCATGGCAATACCATTCCTATAAGACAGCAATTACTAATTGATATCCCCCCATCCGGAATCCTATCAGCATAATATAGGGAATGAAATGCACCAAAAGCATATTTTCCAGATGTTGATATCGAACTATAATTTGTGTGTAATATATATATATATATATATATATATATATATAGATAAAGCTGAAAATAGATTTGATGATCGTCGTAACAGATCCATCGTAACAGATCATTCATGGAACTAATACAAAGAATTGAAGAGGTTAACCAATTACGGACACGGATTTTCTGGTTATTGATATTTTCTAAGCTAAATTGCTTCGCTTCTCTAAGGTATTCCTTTAATGGATCCTCTTATACGTAACACCAATAAAAGAAAGCTTTCGACATTGAATTTCAAAATTCAAAATTAAATTAATTTAAAAAAAAAAATGTGTCAACCCATGTAATAAAGTTTTCAATGCCTCCTGCAATTTATGAAAAAAGTCAATTCAAAGTAAGTTTCAACCATGGTACAATAAAAAGGTGAGGTAGAGCTAACAGCTGATTACAATTTTTTTCTAAGTGTGCCCGACTTCTGCCAATTTTGTGTATGTATTTATTGTTTTAAAAAATTAAAACAAAAATATTTTCACAACCAATGATTGGAAGACACATAAATTGCGGCTCGCGCATTAAAGCTATTGACCAATATAGCCATGAAATTGAATGGTTAGGATCATATTTTTGAGAGAAAAATCCAGTCATTTCATTCATTCTTCGCGCTTTTTAAATCATTTTAAAAATGAGGAAAAAATGAAAAAGTGAAAACAATAATTTTGAATGAGTCTGACAGGAAGCGGGCATATCCTCAGGGCTGTATTTTTGTAGTTTTACGAAGCTATTCTAAAAGTAGAAAATACACAATCAATATTTACTTTATTTATGACCAACAGTTTATGATTGACACCCATAAATTGGGATTTTCCAGCGTATTTTCCATTTTTTTCTATACATTTGTTGAATTCTATGTATATTTTGTAATTGAATGATAGTCATATTTCTGCCCTTATCTACTTTAATATTTATTTGTACTTTATTCAAATGAGTTAATACACAGGCTATCGCTTGCAATTAGTTTCGTACTGTTTCGTTTTCAATGTTGCGTCATCTAGCAGATTACATTTCAGTTTTGTTTTTCTTTCCACTCGCCTCCACAACAAGCAGTAGATAAAAAAAGTCTCGTTTTGTACTTCGAGAAAATACAGAACGAAACGATTGTCAACGTTTTATGTAGTTTATTTTCGTACGCTGGAGAGGGGCATATGCATTTAGATAACCCTTATTAAAATGTTTTATGTTTTCTTTGTCATTGCATGTTATCAATTAATAGTGAATGTCTTACAATTTTTACTGGAAAACAAGGAAGGGCTTGAGGCAATTTACCTACAAAAACCGATATCAACCAGACGGGCAATAATAGCGTATAAAATGTATAACAACCAGGAACAACTGATAAGAAATACGTACGATGTCATTCAAAGAACTGGAGATAGTTTACAACGATCTAATCAAATTGCGTATGAAACCGAACAAATTGGGACAGAGGTATGTGGGTGACACAATAAAATAAATTTTTGATCGATCCAGTGACACTCTTTATTGTTTAGGTTCTTTCGGAATTAGGAGAACAACGTGAATCGCTACTGCGTTCTTCCCGTCGTCTGGAAAACGCGGATGACAATATCTCGCAATCACGCAAAATCATACGAAAACTTCAACGAGAAGTTCTATATAATAAAATCATTTTAATATTAGTTATAATTATGGAAATAGCGATACTTATAGGACTAGTTGTCATTAAGTTTATTTCGAAATGAGAAATATTAAATTTAGAACTGGTAAATCTGGTGGAAGCTTCAAATGTTTTAAGATACGAATAAGACCTATCAAGACAATGCAGATGTTCAATTAGATAGGAATTATACAGACAATGATACATTGAACACTGCTTGTCAGTGACATTGCGAACTTCAATACTTTACATTTATTTCGGATAGCGTGGTATTGAGAACAACTCTTGCATGGTAAAATTTTTGTTTCCGGGAAAATACCCAAATATTCCACCCGAAATTCCGACTCAACGCCTTGGAGCTATACCGATATGGGCAATATGGGCAATATAATTTTTCCTGGACCCCGATATATGGTTCTTTGAACAGCCTGATTCTGCTAAGTAAATCAAACCAAAGTTTTCTAAATTTGATACTGTTTTATGTAGCGTTAAGATTTTCTCCTTTTAGTTTGGCCGATACCGGCTACGTGAAATAAAGTTTTTGTATATTTGATTCTGTTTGTAAGATAGTCACTAATTTTGTAGCATTTTGGAAAGTTTATAATGTCAACTATAATTTGGCATAAATTTCGTGAACTCCCGTAGGATTTTATAAAAAATGCAGGTCCAAAAAAAATCAAGAATGATATTACTCCCAAACCTTTTGGTATGGTCAACGTCGCTTTATTGGTTCCGGGTATTGGACCCGAAGTTTCAGTTCAAATATCCTCATGTCCCGGCCCGTCCTACATGAAAAAATACTTTCCCGAAATCAGGGTTCAAATTCGTACCTCTGGAAATAATTTCAAAGCAATCCGAGAGTTTCCAATAAAATTGAGTTAAGCTGCGTTTTGAAACATTATAGATATTTTTTTTTATAGAAATTAACGTTTTGGAGGTTAGCCAAACTCCTTTGAAAAAATATGGCTTAAATCATAAAATACGGAGTAAAAGTATGTACCGTTATATGGGAACAAAGGGAAAACGTGGAATTATGAAGACAATGATCCACCACCATAAGAAAGTCCATTATGAATCTAAAAAATCCGTTAAAATATAGGGAGGTACCATTCTATAAGCGCTATACGCAAGAAATGGATCTATATAGACAATGTTGTGCCACCAAAAAAGATACCAATTCGGGCGAAAATGTGGTTTAAATAGTCAAAATACATGATATTCACCCCTACTCTGTAAGACGTCGTCGACAGCTAACGTCGACGCCTTGTGTCGCCGTGTTAATTTTGGCACCCCTGAAGTCGTGTCGACAGCAGACGACGAGTACTTGGTACTCGCTAAGGCGATTATACAACCATGTTGAGTCGACTCGACTTACTTTTGGGCGTTACGGTTTTTCTGCACGCCTTGTGACGCCTTGATACAAACAACTGTGTTTTTATTGATTTGTAAGTTGGTGAAAAAAAAAAAATGGAGAAAAAATTAAAAATTACAAATGGAACGCAATTTGATTGCTTAATAAAAGAACTTGGGAAAAACCCAAGCCTTGCGAAAGGGTTCAGTAGAGGCTCTCTTCCATCCAATTTTAAAAAAAATTGGGAGGATATTACAACAAAACTGAATGCTTTTGGTCCTCCGGCAAGAGACAGTGATGGTTGGCAGAAGGTAAGGAATAACAGTATATGTACACAAATAATTAAACTTTCTTTGTTTTGTTTTAGGTTTGGAGAGATCTAAAATTCAAATGTAAAAAGAAAGTAGCCTTCAACAAGGCAGAATGCAATGCAACAGGTGGAGGCAGATACAAGCAGCTGCAACTTTCCCCGTTGGAAGAGGCAGTTGCGAGTATAATGAAATTTATTGATGCAAAAATGGTTTTGAAACCTGTAGATAAATTATATATTTTATGAATGGCATGTATCATGACCCAAAATATAAAAATTATAAAACTTACTTGATATGTGGTAGGTTAAATATATCTGACCTTTGCCTTATAATTTTTCTTTGTATACGAAGGCTTTTCTTCTGTTCTTCATCACTAGAACTTGAACTTTCATCAAGAAAATAAATCATTTTACCAAACAAATTGAAGAAAATTTTCTTTATTCGTTAGGGATTACACTTTTTGGTGGTAAATTATCGATACGCAGGCGTCACTGGCAAAGTACAAAGTACCAATTTTGCATTCATGTGACAACGCCGACGTCAAAGAGTGACAACGACTTTGAGACGACGACGCCTTTGGCGACGACTTACAGAGTAGGGGTGATTGTGATGTATTAGGACTACTCGATAATGGGGGGCCGATATTGCCTCGAACATCACCTGCCCGTTAAAAGGCACTTCTGTGCAAACAATTAATTTTCTATCTATGGTTACGTAGTACAATATATATATATATATATATATATATATATATATATATATATATATATATATATATATATATATATATATATATATATATAGTGAGGTCTAAAATGGCTATTTCGGCGAGTTACAAACGTGTTGACAAACTTCATATGCCCTCCATTTTATGTTTGGTAGATGGGTTGCCAACAATATTACCAACATAAATGTTATCACTAGAGATTGAACTCATATTGCTTTCGAAACCAAAACACAAAGATATTTAAATGTTATTTTATATCAATTTTAATGAACAAAAAACAATAATACATATTTACGTCAGTTATAAGATTCTTTTTGGAATAACTTAATTATCTTTTGGTAAAATGATGGACCAGCCAAACACACGACGATCAAACCCGCATGAAAACAAATCGCAGTTTAAAAGAGGCTCTTCCGCCCAGGCCACGGATGAAACCATACGCCGGTGACCCTAAATAATTCTCGTTAATATATATATTGTGCAAAAAAATGTACTTACTTGGCGGCTTGTTCGGGGTAAACGGGCAACTCTCTGCCCATTTAAATCAAATAAGCGAATCTGTCGGTTGTCATGGGGAATTGCTATAATACCACCATTAGATACTGCTAGTCTATTCACAGAAGAGTCCGTACGTATTGTAGCCAAAGCCGAACGCATATTTCGCAACTCCCACACTTTAACAGTGCGGTCATCTGACCCTGATACCACTTTGTCGTCTTTGGTTAATACTGTAGATGTCACACTTCTGTAATTAGCGAAAATTTTAAGATAATTGTCACAATCAATAAACAATTTTTCGTTTACGTACTCAGTGTGACCTTGAAATACTGACACGCCAGGAATCGGATCTCTGAAATCCCATAGGCGAAATGTGGAGTCTCGGGACGCAGTCACAACTAGTCTTTGGGTTGGATGAGCCGACACGTGCGTCAACTCGTGATCATGACCCATCAAAGGTTGTAATGGCTCTCTAGTCTCCACATCCCATAAAATAGCAGTACGATCCCAGCTTCCTGTAATAATTTGATCCATATTTACTAGCCAATCCGCGGCTACAACTACAGATAAGTGACCTCCAGGTCCTTGAAATTCACAAAGTGGTGTACGTAAAGTATCAACGCGATCACGATCTTCCACTTGTTCATCGCTGTCATCAAGTTCCTCTTCGGATGAATGACCTTTTCTAGAAATAATAAATTAAACAAAACTTCTATTGTGTAAAACCCCCTTAGAAATGGAAAATGTCATTTAGCGAAATTTGGACAACAAATAGTAGTAGATATTTTATGAATTTTCTTTTTGCTTTGAAGCGGATTTCATAAGTCGAGTTTACTTGCAGCAATTTTTATCATTCTCTCTTAAACTTGCCTCTTGCATTAATACAAGGTAATTCATAAATACAATTAAAAACAATGTAAATTAGATCAAAGCATTGCATCTCAAAATCCAGAAATATACCTACAAGCTAATGTACATCGGTTAGCTTTTCATACTCACGAAATACCTAAACAGTTACATTATCTGATCTGATCGTGTCGTTTTAAAACGCAGTTCGAATTGCCGTGGAAATAACCACGCTATGCGGATACTTGATGGTAATATTCCTAAGTAATATAAGTGGTTTTTAAAACTCTACCTTCATAGGATAGGTTGTACTCATGGGTTGTACTGTTAAATAACGAGTTTTTGTTTATCCGTATCATAGATAATTACACAGAACTGGGAGATATCTGTCAATATATTTCAGACAAAGGGAAACTGTCTACACATAGTATAACGTACGCTTTAGAACCGTTCAAAAACAACTTATATTTGAGACTACCTTCATCATAAAGCCTTTAACTTACTTAGATACATCCCAGTTAACTGCGGCTTGCCATATGTGAGCTGTTCCATCGCCGCTACCTGTCAAAACCAAATCACGATTTTGGTGAAATTTTATAGAATTAACAGATCCAACATGACCAGTGTATTGTAGAAGACATCGACCACTCTCAATGCCCCATATACAAGCTGTGTGATCTGCCGAAGCTGTCCCAATAATAGGCTGACCTACTTTTGCTGCTACTTGCCATACCCCATCTTTATGTCCGCAAAACTCCCTCATAACTGTACTGCTTACTACGGACTGAGCTTTAAAGCTAGATACGATTCGACTAGTTTGCGCTTTGATTTTATGGCTGGCTTTAACCTTGCCTCCACTGTAAGTAAATTTTGACTTGAAACTTTTACTTCCAGAAACAACAGGTCCTCCGCTCGTTGTATCTACTTCCTCAGCACCTGTTACTGCGGTAGGTTGTGGAATGGTTGAGGACGGATTAGCTCCACTCGGATTAGTCGAAGTCGATCTCTCACAAGATTGAAGTGAATCCTTATTGGTGTACCCGTCCAGCTTTTCTTGCACTGTGAGGTCAAAGATATTATATGTATCTGTGCAAGTTAAAATATCGTATCTTACAGCTTAAATTTTCCAAATATAAAAGTTCAAACTCTTTCTCGATTTGAAGGAAAAGATGATGCAGCTTAGCACGATAGGGAGTTTCATGTATCCCTATATCTTCTGCTAGGCTCGTCATTCGCTGCTTCGATGATTTCATTTTTGCCTACAATTTTCATAAATATTAAAAATATCCAATTATATAGTTTTTCTCCTCTTCTTTTTTTCCGTTTCTACTAATTAAATTAACATAACGAAGCCTTCAGTTTTTGTTTTTTTTTTCCTGTTTTATTTATTTCTTATTTCTGTTTGTTCTTGTTAGGATGTGAGCAGAGGGCGAAGCCGAAGTGAAATTTTCGGCGGCGGCTAAAAGTCGAATGTAGCCGAAAGAAAAGCGGCGGCGGCTAAAGCAATATACGACCGGCAGCGTCTAAAAGTCGGCTAGAACCAACGACTTTAATTTAAAACAAGTAAAAAAGCAGTAAGCTCGGGCGGGTCGAATTTTGAATACCCTCCAGCGTTTGGAACGAATTAAAAAACAAAAAAAAAAAACTAAAATCCGGATGGACGTCCGTCTGAGAATTTTACGGTGATCAAGAATACATATATTTTGTTGAGTCTAAAATTATTATTTCGATGAGTTACAAACGGAATGACGGATATGGTGGAGGTTATAAAAATGACAACGACAGCCTTGGTATCATGAACAAACAATTTTTTTATTGTTGCGAGATGCAGGCTGCTTCTCTTTGCATTAACACAATTCCCAGCATGTGAAAATGCTTGCTCTGAACATGTTGATGTGGCTGGATGTGGCATATTTGCTACAGTAGCAACATTTGAAAAAGTCCTTAAAAAAGTAGTCGGTCAAAACACAACATGTTTAATACAAGTTTTAAACGACTTTTTTGCAAAACACATGGTAGAAGAATATAGGTAGACGCGTCGACACAGCTGCTGGGACAATGAACTGTCAAACCAATTTTGGAATTGAAAATGTTGAATGAAAAAATATTTAAATTTGTAAAATTTTGTGAAAAACGCGAAATATAGTAAGCCTCCGAATGACGTAGTATAAGAAAACATATAAAAATCTACTTATATTTGAAAAAACATTTACATTTTTTGACATATCAATGCTCCCAAGCGTTGATGCATCTACCTGTATTCTTCTGCCATGGCAAAACATATGGATCCAACCACGGCCCAATTATAATATATAATTATAATTACCAAAAAATACAACTTTATTACCTACATTTATTGCCCAACATTTGTTAGTGTGGCGAATAACTGAACAATATATATATATATATATATATATATATATATATATATATATATATATATATATACATATACATATATATATATATATATATATATATATATATATATATATATATATCAATTGTTGTTTGTTGGTAATGGAATCAATTAAAAACGGCTGGACCGATTTGCATAATTTTTTCTACAAACGTTAGTCTCTTGTCTCTTGGACAAAAGGATAAAATCCAAAAAATTTCGTAAAAATGTGAAATTTTAAAATTTTCATTTTGACTTTTTTCCATTTTGACTTACTATTTCGGAATGTACATTTGTAGTGTTTTCTTTTTTTTTAATTCTAATATGATGTGTAGTCTTTTTGGGTAGTAGAAAGCGCCGAAAATTATGGAGTGGCGGAACTGAATAGATTATGTCAAAATATTTTAACGTGATCTATCAAAAAGAGCATATTGCACTGCAAAAACTCTAAAATAGGGAAAAACTGAGAACATTTTTTCATTGGAATCAAATTTCAAAATAATAGTGAGGACCAAACTTCGTAAGGACCTTTAAATATTGGCTGTAAAAAAAACTAGCGAACAAGTTGAAGATTTTTTTTCAATTTGTTTATTAGTTACTATGCTTATAACTCAAGAACGTTTTGACGGATTTTCACAATTCATACAACTCCAGAATGGAATCTTGCAAAAATAATTGCGTAAAATATGCCAATAAAAATATAAAAGAAAAAATCCTTTTGGCGTGAAATTTTGAATAATATCAAAAATGAAATAGTACGCAATAAGATGTTAAATAGCGATCTTTCATGTCTGAAATTGGCATTTAGCTTTTAACTCCAGGATATACATCGTGCTTCAGCTGGAAGATGCGAACATATTTTAACAAACAAAATTGACCGACAAAACGTTATGGGACTCATTTTAAAACATGGAAATACTTCTTTCACATGACAATAATCCGTCCAATGAGAACTCAATATGAAAATATGAAATATCGAATATAAAGGAAAAAGGATTTCTATTCATTCAGAAATTCTTCCTAAACTTTCACGATACCTTAAATCACTTTTGCAGTTCATGATATGGGCCATAACCCCCGCATAAGGATACAACCCGATTTCAAGTATATCTTACATTTTAACCATATTTTCATAAAATTTTCGGCAAATGTTGGTAATTTGGGAAGAAACCATCCATACAAAAACTGATCACGTTTTGTATAACCATCATATGATTTAAGGAACCGGAAATTTGTTTAATCGTCTTTGAATTATACTATGATAAATGATATGGAAATTATGGAGACCCAACGCGCAATTTCAATGACAAATAATTCATATTACTTTAAAAACAAGTAAAAAAATTATGCTCGGCCGGGCAGAATTATTACTATCATCCATCTGAGGGTAAAGGAAACATTTTTATATAAAAGTATCTAAATTCAAGCGTGTTTCACTTTAAACTTCATATATCAGTAAGACTATTTGGATAATGCATTGATAAAGTGTTGATAGGATAATATTTTTTCTTTGATATTTACGGAAACATTTATTAAAAGTATACTGGAGGAGTGAAAGAAGATTTATCGAGCTAAGGGTGAGAATATATAAAACGCTTTTTTGACTGGCTTAAGTCATCGGATGGCTTTTTCTGAAAATAACAAAGGTGTGGTGGGACAAAATCGATCTAAATCAAACTAAAACTCCTTTGTTCTTCTACGAAGAAGCCAGCCGATGACATAAGCCAGTAAAAAAAGCGTTTCATGTATTCTCACATTTACACTTTAATTTTTCTGAAACTTTTATCTATGTTGACAGTATAGGAACAATTCATATGTCTCATGATGTAATTTACTAATCATATCGCGCATAATGGACGCTTCTATCGATTTTTGCGGCTAGTTTGGACCACTGTGTTTCATACGTTTAGTAGTTGGTACCCGAGTACTCTGTACCCTGTCATCAGTAATCAATATGGCGGGTGCGTAAGAATCTCTTTTTCTAGAATTCAGCAATTTTTACTCAAAGTTTTACAAAATTAGTGCGGTTTTAACATTAAAAAATGACTACCATTGCAGATTTATTCACCAAATACAATTGTACAAATTGCCAAGATGACATCCAGGGAATACGTGTGCATTGTGCAGAATGCGAAAACTTTGATTTATGTCTACAGGTAAGCAATAGCTGTCATTACAATTGTATGTACATAGCTTTTTCATGAGGGTAAAAGATGAAGAGTCGTCTATGACGCGTCATTTTCTTAAGAGAAGAAAAAAATATTGCTCTCTTAAATGTTGGAAATTGGTAATTAAGTGTTTATGTTTATTAGTGTTTTGCAGCTGGCGCGGAGATAGGCTCTCACTTAAACAGCCATGCCTATCAATTCATGGATACTGGAACCGCGATTTTATCCATTTTTCGAGGCAAAGGTGCATGGACGGCTAGGGAAGAAATTCGTTTACTCGACGCCATTGAACAGTATGGTTTTGGAAACTGGGAAGACATTAGCAGACACATTGAAACGAAATCAGCAGAAGATGCCAAAGAAGAATATGTCAACAAATTTGTTAATGGTACGATAGGTCGTCATACATGGACACCGGCTCAAGCGCAACGTCCTACATTGATCGACCATACAAGCGACGACAATGGACCTTTGGGTGCATTAGCTCTACAACGTTTACCTCCATTGGACATAACAATGGAGGAAGCAGCGCAATTAGGATATATGCCCAATCGTGATAGTTTTGAGCGCGAATACGATTTTACTGCCGAACAGTTGATTTCAAAAATGTCCCTAAATGCTGACGACACAGAAGCTGACTATTTACTTAAATTGTCGCACGTCGATCTGTATACAAGACGTCTTAGAGAACGAGTTCGTCGCAAGCGATTGGTCCGTGATTATCAGCTAGTTGCAAATTTCTTTCGCAATCGTAACTACGCTCAGCATCCGGGACTTTCAAAGGAACAAAAGGAGTTTCGAGACCGCTTCCGTGTTTATGCTCAATTTTATACATCTGATGAATATGAGCGGTTGCTAAATTCTTTAGAGCGTGAAAAAGAACTGCGGATACGATTGTCCGAGCTTTACCGTTATCGTTACAATGGTTTGACTAAAATTGATGAATGTCGCCACTTTGAACAGCATGCAGCAATGGCAACCCGGTCAACCGGACCATATGGACACGGGAAATCTGTAAGTGTTTGGCTCTTATACTCACTCATATCCTGGTTATCATTTTGTCACCTCATAAAAAAATACATGCAACCATGGTACAATGATATCAAGGTAGGGCTATGATACCATATGATTTCAAATTTTTTTTTGGCTTAATATGTCATCTTTATTTGTTTATGTATGTGTTTTCTTTTCAATAACAAAAAAAATTGTTCAGAAAATATTCAAATTCGGGTGTTTTCAAAATGTTTATTTCAACGTATGCATCGACAAAATCTAGAGTTTTTGTAGCGAAATAATCCTTTAGATTTAGATTTTGAAAAGAAGTGTTGACCTTTCATTCAATTATCGCGTTTTTCAATTATTTATTCAAAATAAATGCAACAAGTTGTTTGATTTTTTATTGATTTGATACTAATTCTGACATTACAAGCCAAACAGGTAGACCTCTATAGAGGTCTACCTGTTTGGCTTGTAATGTCAGAATTACTATCAAAACAATAAAAAAGCAAACAACTTGTTGCATTGATTTTGAATAAATAATTTAAAACCGCGAAAACTGAATGAATAGTCAAAATTTCTTTTCAATATCATGTTCTATATATCTCTTATGGTTTATTTCGCGACAAAAACTGTAGATTTTGTCGATGTATTCGTTGCAATAAGCATTTTGAAAACACCCGAATTTGAATATTTTCTGAACAATTTTTTATTTTTGAAAAGAAGACACACACACATAAGCAAATAAAGTTGACATATTAAGCCAGAAAAATAAAAAAATTTAAATCATATGGTAGTTCTGCCCTACCTTGTATTCTTTGTACCATGATTGTACCATGCATGCAACCATGGTACAATAAGGAGGTAGAACAGCTTCGTAAAAAATACAGCCCTGAGGCTATGCCCGCTTCCTGTCAGACTCATACAAATTATTGTTTTCTTTTTTTTTTCATATTTTTCCTCATTTTTAAAATGTCGTAAATTGCGCGAAAAATGAATAAAATGTCTGGATTTTTCTCTCAAAAATATGATCCTAACTGTTCAATCTTTCAATTTCATGGCTATACTGGTTAAAAGCTTTAATGCTCGAGCCGCAATTCATGTGTCTTTTAATCATTGGTTTTGAAAATATTATTTTTTTCATTTTTAAAAACAATTGATACATACACAAAATTGGCAGAAGTCGGGCACACTTAGAATCAAATTGTAATCAGCTGTTAGCTCTACCTTACCTTTTTATTGTACCATGCATGCAACTATTTCTTTAAATATACATAGTTTACATACACATAATTTTATTTTTGAATTACTCAATCGATAGGAAAAAGAGTATAAATCCATGTTTACCTTCGTGCTTTTTTCCGGGTTAATTTTCGTTATGAAGATATTTTTGAGGTATATACAATGGAATTGGCAATTGAAACCCACTGGGTTTTCTTAATCGATTACAATGTAAACGTACTATTAGTACAGAATACATATACATTAATGATAATTTAGAGAACTGCTTGGTCAGAATGTATTTTAAACAACTTACCGAATTCAGAGTTAACGACTTGTGTCTTTAACGACACCCCAATTACCCAGACGTGTCCTTATACGAAATATCTAAAATTCAAATTTTATTAAATTCGGGTATTAATTTTCAAAAGAATAAATGAAACTTAGCCCATCATTCACAAGTGAAACTTAGGGGAAGCAACGGTTTAGTACTTATATCATTTCGTTATGGTGACGACTTTAAGGGGATATAAAGTAACCTTGAGATAAAATATAAGAACGGTTAATGCAACAAAGTTTCTATTTAATTTAAAATTTTCTATATAAATTTATTTTTCTTCCATTTATATAATTTGAAGAAAACCCAAATGACAATATATATCACATATTATTTACTGATATAACGAAAATACAATAAAATATAATAAAAAAATGTTTTACTTTCAACATCTCAAATAATGCTCTCTTCTCTGTTATATCAGTGAAAATAACCTACTCAAATACTGCTTAATAGAAATCAAGAAAAATCAATAAGTACCGCCATATTCAATAAATTTTACCTAATATTTAATTTCATAGAAATATGTATTTTTTTTTGGACGCCCAATAAACAAATTATGCAAAGAATAAGTAAACTGGGTAAAAAATCATGGAGTACAGTTAATACTCATTCTCATTCATTCAGTAATCCTTTTCATGTCTGCCACAAGATATTTGGCTACTAAGAACTGTTATAAATATTTAATTTATCCATTGCAAAAAATTACTTTTAAACCATGATGTAAAAAGCCATATCTTTGAAAAATGTGTATGTATCGATCTATACATAAATACAACTTACATAACCCATGCATGTTTAGTTTTTACTTTGACACTAAGTTGTGTATCTGTAATACACGAAGGCTTTTGAATATCGTGTGATGGTAATTAAAAATATGTATGTCTTTATGAACATATTCAAAAATTTTTTTAAGGAAAAGACTAATGTTTCTATTTACCTCTTTGCGATATTCAGCTTCCGTGTATTATTAGCACTCCAAATGGCGAACGTTTAAATGGGTGTATAAGACAATGTTTCACTGCAGGACAATCCCAACACTGGAAATCAACGGCAGCCAGGCTATTCCTCACACTCCCCACAACACAGCAATCGAAAACTGTAAGTTGATGAGTCTTTTATTTAATGATGTGTTATTTGATCGAATTTTTATGTTTATAGCGATCTGTCAAACGCAAACGAAAATCCAAATTCCATCGCACCAAACAGCATGCCCCACACAGGAGACCAGATCTCTTACGCCGTATCATCGCACAACAAAAACTACTTGGATAGCTATCGGGTATCACCGGCACATATGACGACATCGATGGTGTCGGGTGCAGGAATGAATTCAATGTCAACACCAACACCGTTGACGAAATCTCAGCTGAATACGAATCAACCTCACCTGCAGCAGTTGCTCACAGTGTCAGTGAAAAATCCACCACATCTACAAGTAAACGACGTCGCTATTATACAAAGTCAGAACACCGAAAAAACACAACATCAACAGTTGGAGATACAAAACAGTGCGATGACACAAATGCCCTCAAACGGCCTAAAAGGACCTCAGTTAACTCAATCACCAGCTACGCCGATGAGTAGTATTTTAAGAGCTCAATTGGACGAACTTAAGCAGCTACCACAGCCATTGGGAACTCAGCTACTGTCAACCAACGAACAACAAATATGTAATACATTTAATTTGCCACCTACATCTTATCTTTCCCTCAAAACACTTATTTTAAGTGGTGCTCCAGTCACTTCTTCCAACCTATCGCCAGTTGAAAGCTCAATTAGAAAATATTTTATAAAAGTTGGTTGGTTAAGCCATTAAATGTTCGCTCATATTCCCAATTTGTTGAAGGTGCCTAAGGCTCAAACATACAGCTCTATGGTGTAATTCAATTCGACGCAGTGTGAGCCTGTATAAGATTATAATTCCCTAGAAATATGTAAAATTGTTAAGTTAAACATTTTTTCTTTTCAAAACACATTATATTTGTATCATAAATTTCTTTAATATGAAATGTTGTATATCTTGATACTCAACTATTTATTATATTAGATTAATGCATCATAAAGCAAACATTAAGTTAATTAATATATAAATTAATTACCCTTATTACTCTTGACAGTTTCGTTGTGCGGCACATATAAAAACTTCGATCACGGCAAATTTGTAATAAAATTTAACAAATTGAATGAAGCTTTTAAAAGATCATACTTAATTCATATGATCAGTCGTAAAGAAAACCTCCTACGACATTTTTTCGTATTGGTAATACGGCAACATGACGATTTGTCAATTGTAACAAGGATGAACAATGCACGAAAACGCGCCTGCATGTTGCTATCTAAAGAAATAGATACAAACATACATTAAAAACGACATATTTTATAAAAATTCACTTGTATCAAGTATGAATTGGAAATTAGTCATTTAGTTTGACGATTTTTTTTTATTAAGTAGCACTTAGAGAACTATATGTAAATACCTTGATAATAAAAACATAAAATTTGTCACAATCGTAGTAAAGTTATTTTATCTAATATCAATTTAAATATGATAAAATTTAAAATTGTTTCAATTGTACATTTGTTGTTTCAATTGAACATTCATAAAAAACGTGATTACTTTCGTAAGACAATTTAAAGAAAAGAAACGTGTGAACGGGTTGATTCATGTACATAATTCTGAGAGGAAAACATGTTTTCATAGGCAGTCAGGTATTTTTAATCCTCCGCCATACTGGGGGTATATAACTCTTTCATTTCATTTGTTCCTACTCGAATTAACAACCCTAGGTTCTACATAGTACATATATTATTCTATGTCGATTTTGTTGTGTGTTGTAATTACGTTACCTTTCGAACAAAGTGAAATAGAAAGATAAAAATTTGCACATATTTGCATTTTTATTTCAGTCCATGTTTTTGTATTGACAATGGCACCTCACTCCCTACATCTTTTGACGATTTCAGCCTCACATTCAGCGCTATTGTGGCCTACATTGTATTTAAAGGTTCATAATTGGCTTAAGTTAAATTGCTGTGCTTGGTTTGACCTGAAAGGATCGACCGAAAGTTCCGATACAAAATCCGGGTTTTATTCGAGCCAACTAAATAAAAGAAATATACAGGGTGAGATGAAAGAACGGATCTGGTTACTTTTCCTGCAGGAATTGTCCAGCAATATCTTTCTGAGAGAGTAAGGTAGTTTTATACTCTTTTGCAAGGAAAATGCGAAAAGTAAACAGACGGTATTCCAGCAACTAATCAGCTGATTAGTCAAAACAAGCCAATTTGTCCACCATTCAAAGAATTAAAAGAAAGGAAGCACCACCAATTTTACAAGTTTTATAATTAAAAAGGAAATTAACACGAAATTAAAATATGAACAATAAAAGAAAGATAGATTTGATGAGTTCCCCGGAATCCTTTAAACGTGTTGCTAATGACGTTTGTCTAAAAATGTTGGAAATAGTCTTTAATTTTCTTATTACATGTTTATATTTACGTTTTTCACATTTTGTAAAGTTGTTCTCCAAAAGCAAATAGTCTTGCTAATTCCAAAAAAGAAAAAATCAATAGAAAACATCTGGTTGAATGTCGATGAATGGCAAGCAGTGTGGCCATTTTAGCATTTTTGCAGGTAAATTTAGCATTTATTTTTTGTATTTAGCAGCAAAATTTTCATTTGGCATTTTTCTTAGCTTTTCGAAATTTTTAGTTTAGCGTTTTTTTTTTGTCCAAAAATTTTCTAATATTTTAGTACTTCTTATAAATCCAATTTTTCTTAAATCTATTAAATGAAGATTTTAAACGAAATTACTATTTTATTAAGCAATGACAAAAACTTATTACATATGAATGGGCAAACACAAACTCAACAATTTATTTTTGGATATTAAAATGCTTTAAATGTGCCCTGTATATAATATCCTAACTATATAGTGTTGTAAGAAGTAAAAATATTACAAAATGTAAAATTCAATATTGTAAGTCAAAATGAAAATATCCCATGCGACAAATCGGCTTAGTTCAGCGAGATTGGAAGATCAATATATACTTTTCTATGTGGGAAGCCGAAATTTCGAAGTGTTACATAATTTTTGGCCCTATCAAACTTATAAGACCCCCAACACATATTACTGCAGGGTTTAAAAATATATTTATATTTAGCATTATTTTTTGGCATTTTAATTTTTTTGTTTGGCATTCTTTAGCATTATTTTCATGGGATTTTAGCTTCAACACTATTTTAGATCCGGTCACACTGGTTGCAAATGTTTGCAGGAAGAAATTTGTCCAGCAAGAATTTGCAAACTCTCACTGAAAGAACTGTCAAAATTTTTCTCTCCAACCGCTCTCCTTTGCAGATCTTTCCGGTTAACAGACGACTTCCAGTAACAATTGTTACAAGTTCTAGGGTAACCAGACACACCTAATATGTCTTGTTCCTTTACAAAGGGAATCTTAGAAAATTTGTGGCCATGTGTGATTAACAGCTGATTACAATTTTTTTCTAAATGTGTGCCAATTTTGTGTATGTATTAAATGTTTTGAAAAATGAAAAAAAAATATATTTTCAAAAACCAATGACTGGAAGACACATGAATTGCGGCTTGCGCTTTAAAGCTATTAACCAGTATAGCCATGAAATTGAAAGATTGAACAGTTAGGATCATATTTTTGAGAGAAAAATCCAGACATTTTATTAATTTTTCGCGCAATTTAACTCATTTTAAAAATGAGGAAAAATATGAAAAAAAAATGAGAACAATAATTTTGAATGAGTCCGACAGGAAGCGGGCATAGCCTCAGGGCTGTATTTTTGTACCATGAGTACACATAAAACGTTTTTTAACTTGCTGCTTTGTAAAATAACAAAGGAGTAAACAAGTATAAATTATGTACCGAAATCGAATTAAGGCAACTTAAAACTCCTTTGTTCATTTACGAAGAAGCCAGCCGATGACTTAGGCCAGTCAAAAAAGCGTTTTCTTGTTTGCAGTCGGGAGGTTGAGAAAGTTTTCGTCATACCAGAGTATATCTAAATTGTTATTCTCATTGTACGTGTTAATTACTTCCTTTCTGGACATTTTTTCTTAGTCGTTGTCTTGATAGTTTCTATTTTTTGGCGCATTTCTCTTTCTCGTTACAGGGGTATCGGTTGAATAACATAAGGAACATTTGCTGCACTCTAGGCGTCTAGCTTTGCAACGACATCCCATCCTTGTGTGGTCTAGTCTTCCGCAGTTAAAGCATAGCCTTCCGATAGACAAAGGGTATCAACCAATGAAACCAATCTCAATGGTTTCTTTCGCACATCAGAACCTTATTTCTCTTTGAATCGTCACTTTTCTATCGGAGACAATACTTTTCAATTTGCCCACGGAATTGTTTCAAATGTTTAAATACCAAATTTGAAACAATTCCGTGGACATTTGCCTTAGGTTTGCACCGGAATAACATATATTTTTGACAAAAAATTAGATGTGATAAGCTACACAAACAAATAAAAAAATAGAATTGATTGTTTGCTTGATTGATTTTTTACATAAAAACCTTTACCCGAGTCAAACGCGATAAGTAACCAATCAGCGTTTAACGGATGTTTTATAGTCAAATTTATTGTGATTGTCCATTAACAGGATTAACCCGCACAAAGGTTGTACTTTAATTCCATCTGACTACCAATTTTGCTTTTGTATGTATTGGTACACGCTTTGGTATAACGCCCATATAAGGGTACCTCCGGTTTTTTGGTATTATCACACGAATATGTCTAACCTAGGTGGAGGGTATTAATGTTTTTTTACTTTTTTATTGATTTCGAAGAAGCGCATTTATTAATATTGTGAGTTTCGCGTGAAGAAATATACCAGAAAAAAATATTTGAATCGAAGCGAAATATTTTGTTCGCTGCGGTCAAATAATTTTGAAATCACAAATGTTGACTGTATGAGCGTTTTTTCAACAACAATTGTATTTTTTCGCTAAGCTTACACGACTTGTTTAATGAATCTTATCCAATTTTAGTGCATAAAAATAGGTTTCCATCTCTGACATGGATTTTAAAAATATATATTTTGACAATTAGATGTTATTAAACCCATGGTCGAATAATACGGGTAACAGCAATTTTTTGTACAACAAACGTAACAACTATCATGGTACAATGAAGACAAGGTAGTCTAACTTTGAAAAAACGTCAAGTATAGAGGTCTACCTGTCTGACTTGTAATGTCAGAATTACTATCAACACCATCAAAAAACCAAACAACTTGTTGTATTGATTTTGGCCTAACTCTAGTTTAGTAAAAACTCTTCACTTTTTTCTGTGGTAGGTATTTTTACACTGATCCCGGGAAACTATTTTTTTGAGGGGACGGACCCGGGACCCCAGTTATTTGAGCCGAAAGTCCGAGTTCGAAACCTGGATCAACTAACCCGTGGAAAAAATAACATTCCTTTCAAACTGCACACATGAATAAAGTATTCTACATTTTGCAATTTAAGGAAATATAAATTATACGACAATATTGCTTTGGCAACTTATCTAGCTGCCGTAAATCCAGCGCTTACTGTTTGTACCATGGTTCTACCCAAGACCCATTAAACAGGTCGTGTAAGCACAACGAAAAACTACCATTGTGATTTAAAAACGCTCATTATGTCGACATTTTTGTTTACGGTCCTACAGCTAGATGCATCAACGCTAGGGAGCATTGATATGTCAAAATTGTTAAGATGTTTTGTTAAAAATAAGCAGAGACGAGGCAAATTTCAATAATTTTTCATTCAAAATTTCTAATTTCAAAATTGGTTTGACAGTTTATTGTCCCAGCAGTTGTGTCGATGCGACTACCCGTTTTCTTCTTCCATGGACCTACCCGTGGTCCAAGTATAAAGTCTCCTAAACGCTCAAGCCAGCTGACCATGAAATTTAATATCAAAATGCATTATTGTGATATAAATCGCAGAACAGAAGATAAACAAATAGTCAACAAAATGTGAACAAATTTTCACATAAATCTTGGTTTTAAAATTTGTTAGGCCACCTTGTTATAGCGCCATGGCCTTACCCCTTTATCGTACCATCACAACAATGAATTTTTCAACTTTTTATTGAGCCATGGGCCATAGGAATTATATCTATTTTATACTAACGGTTATTAACCTCTTAACTGCATTTATGTATACATATTTTAAAAGAAATCTCACCAATAAGGAATCTCTCAACCGTATTATATTTTTTTCAATATGATTATCGTACAAAACATTTTTTTTTGTTTATTCGAAGGGGGTTCACGTTTTTCAAATACATTTATGTATAAAACAACTTTACTTATTTCTCAAAAAATACCGATAAAGAGTATTTTTCTGGGTGGCTGTGGAATTTACTCCTCCACCTCCTGCTTTAGCAGTATTATTTACTACGTTAGATTTCTGTGAGGCATTAGCTGCACCGCTTGGTCCTAATGAAGATAAAGTTCCATTAGCTACGGCTGCAGCAGCAGCTGCTAGTGAACTTCGCCACGAAGCTATTAGTTCGTTTTGAACATCGACTGGTAACTCATTGAAAACCTGGGGATCAACGCCTGCTGGACACGGAATGTTGGCAAGATTGCCAGTATTTTTAGTATTCTGATTAGTGATGCTTGTAGTATACTGTTTCGCATTGTTGTTTGTTTCAGATTGTTCGGCGCTGGTGCAAGAATCCATAGGAATATTATTTATGCTCGGTGAGGAGGACATTGAATGCTGCTCAGAAAAAACCAAAGCATTTGCTCGAAAATCTTCTAAACTATCAGTTAAGTTTGAGGTTTGAACGGACAGGGTCTGAGTTGTGGCAGTTGTTGAAATCGATAATGGAGATGTCGGTGTATTATTAGGAGAGGCACTTGTAAACGATGTCATTGAAAAATCTCTGTCGCTGTCTCTAGAATTAAGTCGTAGGTCGCAAACTCGCAATTTGCTTGGTGAAGCAACATCTGCAGCAGACTCGCATGGAGAATTATATGCAGCCGAATTACCAAAACAGCGACGTTTATTGAGCAACAAGCGACTTATTCTACTCTTTTTCGGAGATGGTTCAACCTCCGTTTCTGAAAAATCTGAAAAGTCTGAATTTGTTGCTCCAGATTCAGAACCGTTATCCACTAGCATAGGAATGGGGGATGCCGCCGTGGTGCGCCTTCGATAAAACTGATCGCTCGGTTGGAAGGTTGTAGGCGACGAACGAAATCCCTCGTTGTCACTACTGGGCAGGTTTGGAGTAGAATGGGATGTATCATCAACAGTAACGCCAATGGCATCAACATCAGTGTTAGTTAGAGAAGTAATAGACTGAACTTCTAGGTCAGTCTTTTTAATGAGGAAATTGGCAATTGAAGACGATCCAACTTTTCGCTGTTGAAATTTTGAGAAAGCCAGTCCTATTAGCGTGATATTAAACGGTTTGCTTAGATCAACAACCCGTTCAAACAGACGCATTACGATCTTCAATAGTTTCTCTTGTGCACCATCTGCTAGCACCACTTTTGGACCGCCGCTATCAGCGCATGAATAAGACTTGAAAAGCGATGGCAGAATATTGGCTTGTTTGGTTTCCCGATGACTGCTCTTTTTTTGCAAATCAAACTTGCGTAATACAACCTTAATGCATATCGGTATGCGACCATCTTCAGCAACCTAAAAGTAATTCAGAACAAATCGTTCAGTACCTTAAGACAATTTACATTTTTTATACCTGTTCCATTAACCGAAGTAAAAGAAGACGAAAGCGCTCCTCGACATCAGTCCTCACCGATATTGGTTTGCAAGAGTCTTCCAAACCAATTGTTTTTGGCTTTCCCGTTGGCCTGACTGCACAATTATCACGTCCGAACGCAAGATCTTTCAACTTTGTGGCAGTTTCAAATCCGAACTTTTTCTTCAGGAAGTCTATATCGCATCGCTGCAGTTCTTCAACATTATTTACACCACTTTCCAGTAAAAGGCATTCAGTTTTTTGCCCAATACCTGTGATCCGATTCAGGTCACATAATTCTCGCATAAACTGTTCAGCGTGAGTGGAAACCAAAACAGTTTGTTGGTTTGGTTTATACTGAGATCCTACAAGTTTGGCCAAAAGTTTATTATAGGAAATTCCTGCGCAACAGGTTAGACCGAGTTTTATGCTCAATTCCTCTCTTATTTCCTGAGCAATTTGTGTTCCCAATGCCAAGCGATACGCACAGCCGCAGCGACATGCATTCAAAGTTGTTCCATCTGAGGGATATATATGACCAACAACAGTAGGTGCATCAATATCATCACTTTCCAGTTGATTTTTTTCTTGTTCTCTCTTCTCTACCAGCGCGGATACATCCATGAAATTCTCATCGAATCCAAGTTTTTCAACTAAAGGCGTGTAGTTTAGCAAGATTTCAAATATTTTTTGTGACATTTGTCGATAAGGTGTCAAATCTTCGCCAACCACTAATACTAAATCGGGACATAATTTCTTGGCCTCTGAAACCAGCATAAGCTTTTTAATACCTTTCGCTCTGGCATTATAGTTACACGTTACGACAATGTTCTTTTGCTGCACTCCCAATGGACGGGATTTCAATGTGGGATCTCTAATCTCTTCCACTTGAGCGTAAAAATAATCCATATCTATGTGAATTATTGTGCGCTGGTGAGGTTCATTCTTCTGCAGTACACTGGCAAAATCCATGCTGCTAAATCGGTCCCTATCTAGAATAAAATTAAAACATTTTAATAATTTTTTCCAAAGTTCGTTCCGATTTTATGCAGTAATAAATATGACGCAAATTGCTGGCGCAATTGTCACCATATATATCTGAATGTATGTTCGCTCGTTACTTAGTTGAAAAGCATTTCATTTCGCAATAGAAAATATATAGAATTTTACTTTTAACACAAATATATTCTTAAAACACTGTTTGTTCAATTTGTTCATTACTTTTATTTATTATGATGCTTGAAATTTAACAGAATACCTAATACAAGCCGTACATTAGTTCAATTTTTTTGCGTACAGAGAAGCAAAACTTAAAGCACATTTGAGATGTTTTTATATTCGAATGCGTATTGGCTTACAATTAAACACTTTATTTATAAAGGTATTCAATATTTCCTAATTATCGTCTATTTGCCTTCAGAAAAAAACTTTCCACAGAGTTGTCAACGAAAGTATGAAGAAGGGTTGCAAAACAAGTACAGTAAGCAAGGTTTATGTACATATATATTTGCTATGATTACTGCGGAACGTAATGTAAAGTACGATTAATAACGTCTTCACATACAAAATCTTTACCCGGCTTAACCGCAATAATTAACCAATCATGGTTCAATGGCCCAATTCACACGAGAGTAATTTTTAGTCCAAACAACATTTTTCTTTCCGAAACACACGAGACTAATGAAACTGTCTTAAATTGAATACGTATACCATGGTAGAAGAATATAGGTAGACGCATGGTACAATGAAGAGAAGGTAGGTCAACTTTGAAAAAATTGCAAGTATAGAGGTCTACCTGTTTGGCTTGTAATGTCAAAATTAGTATCAAAACAATAAAAAATCAAACAACTTGTTGCATTTATTTTGAATAAATAATTGAAAACCGCGATAACTGAATGAAAGATCAACACTTCTTTTCAAAATCATGTACTATATATCTCTAAAGGATTATTTCGCTACAAAAACTCTAGATTTTGTCGATGCATACGTTGAAATAAACATTTTGGAAACATCCGAATTTGAATATTTTCTGAACATTTTTTTTTTTTAAAACCATATGGTATCATAGCCCTACCTTGATATCATTGTACCATGGGTAGACGCATCGACAGAGCTGCTGGGACAATGAACTGTCAAACCGATTTTGGGATTGAAAATGTTGAATGAAAAATTATGTAAATATGTAAAAATTGTTGAAAAAACACGAATTATAATAACCACCGAATGATGTCGTATAAGAAAACATATAAAAATCTACTTTTATTTGATAAAACATTTAAAAATGTTTGACATATCAATGTTCCCAAGCGTTGATGCATCTACCTGGTACAACATGCCAAATATCAAAAAATTTTGATTTTTCATACAACCGAGACACAAATTCGTACAACCGGGACACAAACTATACAATCTTGAATACAACCCCTCCCAGTTATACAACCAGTTGTAACGTGTGTGGCTTGCATTAGACCAGAATAATTACTCTCGTGTGAATTGGGCCAATAAGAAGGGTTGCTCAACTTCAAAGAAATTATAGTGTCAAATAAATTTTTAAACATGTAAAAATTGGTTTTGTTATATTGGGAAAACCCCACTAAACATTAATGGAATATTTGGTTTTTTCCACAAATCTGAATTCAGGAACAATATTGTATATTTCATCCCTAAATTATACATTTTGTTGACCGTTAACGTGGAGAGTATGCATTTCTATTGCATCTAAATTTTAAAATAACTTCAAATAATCTTTTTCATTCCTTTGACAGAAAAGAAACACCAAATGAAAAAGTTGTATTTAGGAGGTAGCTTTGTTCTACCTTCTGTAATTATAACATGTCAACCAACAATAAACTTAACGCAAGTTTTTCATAGTGAAATTGAATGTTATTACTCAATCATCAGGGTTAACCCGGAATAAGAATTCTGTGTAAATGTACTTAAAAAATGAGACAAACATTAATTTTTAAAATCAGTTAAACAGGGGGAAAAAGAATGAAATGCCTGGCACAACTTTCCCAATCATTGATTTTGAAAATATTCTGTTTTCATTTTTCAAAACAATAAATACATACACAAAATTGCAGAAGTCGAGTACACTTAGAAAAATATTGTAATCAGATGGTAGCTCTACCTTACCTTTTTATTGTACCATGGATCCATTAAGATAATATTTTGTCATAGGACGTGTAACCTAAATATAGAATTCTAAATTATTGCGTTAGAAATTGTGGCTAATGTTAAAATATTTAATATGGGGAGGTACAATTATATGGAGGATATACAAAAACGACTGCAGACAAAATACTACTCTATGCAAAATTTTAGCTTCCTATCACATGCCGACGGACGGACATGGCTAAGTTGATTAGAATTTTCTGTAATTTACCTTGTCAAAATTTGCTTAGTAAGAACAGCTATTAATTTGTGTGCATTCAATTCAAATTTTGACAATGAGATGTCAAAAATATAATTTCAAAAATATTCCATTCTTAATATCTCATTTAGATTACTCATGTTAATCGACTCGATTTATAGATCCTACTTGTTTAGACTAGTTTAAAATCATATAAAATGTCAGTCAGCCGATCTTTGTTTACATATATAGACGCGATATTTCATTTATATTATAAAAAAACGATGTATGATCACTGGGAGTCTGAAAATGTCTGACAAAACTTGGAAAGCTGTATCCCAGGGGGGTAAGACAGGGAATACCTAGGTTTCGGAAATAGCCATCAATCCTCATCAGTTCTCTTATTTTTTGTCTGGCATATTCTCCCCAGAAGTTATTTTAAAAATAACTTCTATGACAAAAACATTTTTTTACCCAAGAGACGAGATCGTAAGCTCAATAAAAGAGGAACTAAATATATAAATAAAACTAAAATTCTTTTAGAAAATCTTCTAAATTTTACAACCGGACTTATAAACATTTTTATCTTTCCCCACTTGTTATGCTTTCGTTTTACATGAACAAATAGCGTAACCTTGTAAGCGGGATTTGTTTTTTACAACAAAAGCCCCTTCGTCGACCGTGTCTTGTCTATTATAGAAGAGTGTTGGCATGTTTGTTCGGGATACCATAGCATTTTGTTGTTGCAAAATGGTCAAGCTTAATCCCATTATTTTTGTTTTTATAAAAACAAGGTTTGTTTATTAGTGGAGAACGATGGTAATGTTTACCTTACCCCCTGGTAAACATAACAACAAAATAAATTTTTACCGTAAATTTAATTTTCCTTTTTTCACTTTTGATTAACAACGTTACTTAATATTAAACGTAGCGTAAACAACTCTTTAACTTCCCCACTATGGTGAAATGTTTGTACGCCCATACTACCAGGTCCATATCCTAACATCTATCAACTATTAACTTTGTAAAAATTAATAATTTTTAAAATCCATCAATTGTTCTATTTTCCAATTACAAAAATTCGCACTTTTTGTATTTTACATTTCTGTTTTCAACACACAAATAAGAAAATTATTTAATTGTCAATGTTGAAATTGTTAGTCTTTGAAATTTCGTACCCTCGACTTATTTGGGTAAAACTCATTTATATACATATGTTTTACTTGTGTGGTGACCGACCGACATGGTAGAAGAATACAGATAGTCGCATCGACACAGCTGCTGGGACAATGAACTGTCAAACCGATTTTTAAATTGAAAATAGTGAATGAAAAATTATTGAAATTTGTAAAAATTGTTGAAAAATACATATCATTACAATCTCCGATTTGCGTCGTATAAGAAAACATATAAAAATCCACTTATTTTTGACAAAACTTTTTAAAAATTTTGACATATCAATGTTCCCAAGCGTTGATGCATCTATCCATATTCTTCTACCATGCCGACCGAGTATGTTCAATTTTAGGTAACGCTGTAAATAATATTTTCCGATGAAAATTGGGCTCGCTGTGATCGAAAAAATAAGTATGTGCTTCACTCATGTCTTTCACAATTGAGATGTCTGATAGAGCCTTTAACTGAAATACATATGTAAATATTGGATATTCTTCAAACGAATACCGCCCACAAACGCATGTTTTAAGAAATTACTTCAGTGTGAACACGAGCCAATTAGCATGACAAATAGACATATTATACACATTACCCGTGTACACTGTCCTTAAGTTAATATCAGTCTTGCGATACCTTACTATAGCAATAATTCCAAATTTTCCATCAACGTAATCAAAAAACATATGTTTCTCTGTTGTGTGGTGAATTTTAAATTACTGCTTTGCGTAAACAAAACGGTACGGTTGGCTAAAAAATTTTCGGAGAATATATGAGAAATAAATCGAAAAATTGTAAGAGCATATTTGTAGATGATATTCTTTCATATTAAAAAGAAAATATTTTTTTATATAGGATATACCCATCAATATCGAATACGTTTATTTAGCCGGTGTTCACAAGGGCCGTAGTGGGGAAATTATTCCCGTCTATGATCCAGCTGGTTTATTTGAAGGCAGAAAATCTAAATTGCCACTAACTTGTACTTGCTCTATGGCTATATAGAGATCTTTGATCCAGTAGATCCTCAAGTCTAGAGTTGAACTGTTCCGGCAATTTGTTTGTAGTACATAATGAAGAAAACATGGGTTAAACGGGAACACATTTACTACGTTCCTTTTTACAAACAAAAGTCAAAAATGTTGTTGCTGGGAATCTTCTTTCTGGGCATCATTTTCTTCGTTTATCAAGCGGTTTCAGTAAGTCATTTACCTATAGCTTTGGAGGGCACAATGAGAGATTTACGAAAGAAACATAAACAGATCCAGGCATCTTTAGGGCGTAAACAGACGGATGACTCTAAGGAGAGTGATGCTGATTCGTATTCGATACAAGATGTAGGCATTAAAATTATAAGGTCAGCATTACAAAAGAAATTTTAAAGCAATTTTATAAACAAATTGAATTACAGAGGGATAAGACTTTTCGATTACGATTCATACAAGCCGAATTTTGAAGGTAAATTTCGTTGTCTGGATGGTACTCTAGAAATAGCATTTGAACGTGTAAACGATGACTACTGCGACTGTTTTGGAGACGGCAGCGATGAACCAAGTACAAACGCTTGCAATAATGGCAAGTTCTATTGTAAATACCAAAAGCGGCACATTACGGGAAGAGGACGAGATGTGTTCGTTCCTAGTAGCCGAGTTAACGATGGGATTTGTGACTGCTGTGATGGTAGTGACGAGTGGCTTGGCACAGCGTGTAAAAATAAGTGTCTGTAGCATTTGTATATTAATACAACGTGTACATACATATAAGGCTAGTTGTAGTGTTTAACGAAGAATAATGCATAATACATTTTAATTATACTTAAGTAGGAATAAGAATTCAAACGAATGTAGTCAGATATGGAAATCTTTTGGATAAATTTTTATATAAAATTCTGAAATTATAAGTAGTATCATGGTACAATGAAGAGAAGATAGGCCAACAAAATTGCAAGTATAGAAATCTGCCTGTTTGGCTTGTAATGTCAGAATTAGTATCAAAACAATAAAAAAATCAAAAAACTTGTTGCATTTATTTTGAATAAATAATTGAAAACCGCGAAAACTGAATGAAAGGCCAACACTTCTTTTCAAAACCAGGTTCTATATATCTCTAAAGGATTATTTCGCTACAAAAACTCTAGATTTTGTCAATGCATACGATGAAATAAACATTTTAAAACATTTGAATTTGAAAAGAAAACACATACATAAACAAATAAAGATGACATATTAAGCCAAGAAAATAAAAAATTGAAATCATATGGTATCATAGCCCTACCTTGATATCATTGTACCATGAGTAGTATTGTTATTTACTGACACTGAATATAAAATTCATCGTAACTACCAGTGGTAAATCACACAGAACTGTCATACGCTGTTTGCGGTCTGTAAACTTTGTAAAGTCACATTCCCCGCCGCCACAACAAACCATACACGTCTTCTCACGGTTTATAATTGTTTTCGATCAGCAAGGGCCAGAGGAAACTTTACTACCACTACTGCATATATTGTACACAGCCCACAGTAGGGAAATTCATAAGTCCACCAAAAGTAAAACCTAAATATATTTCCCAAATAATTACCGTATACATCGGTATATATATAAAGGTATTTACTATACTATTGAATTAAAACAATGTGTTTTGACAGCAAGAGAAGACAACAGCTGGGCTTAACGTGTCGCCTTGTACACCTTGGTAAAAACATATTTTGATTTATTTAATTTAATACAATTTTTAACAATTAAATTGCAAATAAAACAGCTTACAATATTTTAATAAATCAGATATCTTAAAAACATAGTTTTTAGGGGCTATGATGAAATGAAACATATATTCTTTATATTTATATTTATAAAAGATTTCATTACATATTTTCATAGAACAATGCAATGTTTCGCCACAGGAGCTAGAAGCAATTATGAATTACAAATACCAATTTTTTGATAAATCCGTGAAAAATATCGGGAGGTACCGTTATATGGGGGCTATACAAAAACGTGAACCTATACATACAATGTTTCATCGCCGGAGCTAGAACCCATTATGACCTACAAATACCAACTTTTAGACAAATCCGTGAAAAAATGTGGCGAAAATTATCAAAATACCGAATATCGGGAGGGACAGTTATATCTGGGATATACCAAAACGTGAACCTATATATTCTATGTTCCTCCACAGAAGCTTGAAACCATTACGAACTACAAATGCCAATTGTTAGAAAAATCCGTAGAAAATTTTGGCAAAATCATCAAAATACCGAATATTGGAAGGTACCGATATATGGCGGGTATAACAAAACGTGACACAATACAAATTGTTCTGCCAAATTTTGAAGCTCTGCGTCAAATTATGTCGACTATAGCGTGATTTCAACAGACAAACGGACATCGTTAAATCGACTTAGAATTTTATCCTGATCATGAATATATTTACTTTATGGGGTCTACGACGAATACAAACGGAATGACAATGTTAATATACCCTCCTTTTCAAGGTCGAGGGTATCAAAATGTTATGTAGCAATACATACGCTTCTGTCAACCTGTACAACACCTTATCCGACATAGGAAGGTGGTGCTCACTTTAGGGGCGCTCAATTTTCAGAGGAAAGTGTAAACATTTACATAAATGTGGAAAACGAAATTTTTTCCTGGACTTGTTTGTAACAATGGCACAAATGCTTCCGTTGAAAAATTAAAAATCCTCGGCATAACAATTAACAATATAAATGGAATTTACATATTGAAGAATTAAATTCACTACAAAATAAAAAAAATATATATACAAAATAAACTCCTAAATGTTAACAAAATCAAAACTACATATAACTCTGCAGTGCGAATTGTGTTCAGGGCTCACCGCACAACTAGAATAACAAATATTTTATACGAGGCTAACCAAGGTAGATCTAACAGGTAACCGCATCGGCGAATTGCTACAACAAAGCAACTTTTGTGGTCCCCTCAAATATCAAAATTGGCATCTAAGGCGAAAAACATAGATTCGCCATGACATTTAAAGGTTGCGGCAAATTTGTTTCAACCAATCAGAAACGAGGTGTTTGTTTACATTTTATTTTGTGTGCCTCTCGTCGTAAACGAACGTCGCAATAAAAGTTTTTATTGTAAAACAAATAAGAGTAAAATAAGTATTAATTGTAGTATTGCGATATTTTTAAACCAAGAAACTTATAATGACTATATTTTACTGGTTTAAACCGAAAGTTTTCCGGAACTGCAAATGACAAGAGTCGAATTCTTGCACTACTTCCCGTGATGTGCTTTGGGAATCTTAGATGTTGAGGCTAACTTAATTCTTAAAGCTGCACGCCATTCTAACCTCCTTCCTTCACTTTCTTTTAATTTTTTTTACTGGTTTCACTCTTAACTTGCTCTTAAATTATTTGAAATATTATAAAAAGGTACTTTTAGGGAAGACAACATAAACAAATTTGTTGTTGCATTCATTTAGGGCGAATTCTTCATTACAACAATTTGTTTTGACATTTAATGGTGCCGTCAGCTGGGCTGATGCGATTACCTAGTACATCTACCTTGGTCTGTGGGGTAGTTTGCGAACAAATCATACATGTGTGGGCTACTGCGCAAATTTTAAGCCATTTTGCCATTTCAGTTGCTCTTCAACCATTGTAACGAAAGGTCGTGTAGTGCACACAAAAAATGGCAAGCAAAGACTTTATGATAGAATTTTTTGATGTGTTAAAAAATGAAAATGCCATTTGGCAAACAAAAAGTGAAAAATATAAAGACAAATTAGAAAAACAAAAATCATGGGAAAAACTCGTAACAAAATGGAAAATTTTTATAATCCCTTGGAGTAAGCATTTCCATATTTTTGAGCGTTGCTACATGGGAATGCTTTTTTCTTTCGAGCAGCCACTCTTCACTCCATTTTCTTTTTCTTTTTTTTTCGATTTTTTTCTTTTCTTGTTTTTTATTTTCCATGTCGAAACATGTATATATAATTAAAAATCGTCGCACATGTTTTTTTAAGTTTCCTATCAACAGAAAAAACCAATTGTTAAATAAAAAATTTTCTGCCACAAAATTCAAACAGAAGCACAAACCGAAGTTCAAACACAAAATGAACATCATCCGCTTCGTAGCATATGCTTACTCTTCAACGTCGGCCGAATTATGATTTGTTCGAGCGTGTGTGGAGAAACGATATGCAATAAATCGCAGCAATAAATTTGCAAATCACACCAACAAATCGTTCGTCTATGGCCAGCTTAAGCCACTTGTCCGACAGCCGTTAAAATTATTCCAGTGACAGCTCATTATATTGTTTACAAGCGTACAAAAGCATTTTCCCGAAAAAAGTTAATCGTGATGGAATTCAAGCGTGATTTATTTATATTTGACTGGAAAACCACAAGTGGCTATAGCTTGAGCACTCCAGCATTTAAATATGAAGAAAACATCAGCTGAAATGGTTCGAAAAGTAAAGAAGCGACTTGATCGAAACCCGCGTCGCAGTGGTCGAAAAAAGGCTCGTGAGCTGAACATAACGCAATATTCCATTCGGCAAATATTGTAAAATGACTCAAAAGAGCCAGAGAGTTGGCCACCAGAACTCAAGCGCCGGCCATGGTGATGGTGTGGGTCGCCATAACAGCCGATGGTCGCTCTCCACTCGTATTAATCGATCGTGGCATCAGAATAAATGCGGAATATTATCGCGAAAATATTCTGGAGGGTGTATTAAAGCCTTGGGCACGAAAACATTTTTGCCGCAGACCTTGGACATTCCAACAGGACGCAGAACCATCGCACTCAGCACGCGCCACCCAAGAATGGTTACAAAACGAGGTTCTTCGCTTCATTTCCAGCGCACAATGGCCACCAAAATCTGCGGATACCAATCCGAAAGCAAGGTTGGCACTAAAAAATACCAAAGTGTTGATCACCTCAAGCAAGCGCTTCGCCGGGAATGGGCCAAAATACCGCAGAGCAACATTCAGGCTGCGTGTGACGGTTTCATTGGCCCTTTAAAGGTCGAACTAATCCAAACTTATTCTAAAATTTGATGCTATTTCAAAAATGTTTTGCTTTCATTCAATAAAATTTAAAAAAAATTAAAAATTATGACGTTTGGCTTTGTTGCATTTTTTTATCTCACCCTGTATAGCGAAATGTCCACCGCTAGTCTTTGTGAAACATTACTACTCAATGAAAGTTCTCCAGTTGTTGAATTATTAAAAAACTGTATTAAAACTACAAAATGTTCAAAATTTGAATCAGCGCTAAACCGTATTGGGAATAATTGTGATAAATTTAAAATCCCACATAGCCTCAAATTTCTACTAGCTAATATACCTTTTTGGACCTCAAACGCATACATCCCTTCACAAGTATCGCGGGGAAAACACAACATCAGATTTTTATGTACACAAATTCCTCAATATCCAAGAAAAGTACCAATACTACAAATTTATTTATACTGAAGAATCAAAATCCAACAATTGTATGGGCTACAGTATCGTAACCAATGATGATGAAATCCTTAAATCCTGTCTTTTACCAGAATATTCATCAATTTTCACTGCTAAAAATAGTCATATTCTGCTATGGTTCCAGGACACTCTAATATAAGAGGAAATTACATCGTAGATTTAGTCGCAATAGAGGCTTCCATTGCTCCTCTAACATGCATAAAACAATATATTTTCGGCCGATATTAAAAAAAAATATATAGATGAAGAATTTTTCTCTTGAAAAACTATGTATATGGAGCAGTACATCAGACTGGTATAAATTTATAAATAACAAAAAAAAAAAAAAAAAAAATAAAATATAAAAACATATCTAACATTCTACCAAGAATTGACCAGATAAAAATAATTTGGATAAGGTGGGGATATTGCCGTGTAACGCACGATCATCTCATTAACAAAGATATTGGGAATAATTGTGATAAATTTAAAATCCCACATAGCCCCAAATTTCTACTAGCTAATATACCTTTTTGGACCTCAAACGCATACATCCCTTCACAAGTATCGCGGGGAAAACACAACATCAGATTTTTATGTACACAAATTCCTCAATATCCAAGAAAAGTACCAATACTACAAATTTATTTATACTGAAGAATCAAAATCCAACAATTGTATGGGCTACAGTATCGTAACCAATGATGATGAAATCCTTAAATCCTGTCTTTTACCAGAATATTCATCAATTTTCACTGCTAAAAATAGTCATATTCTGCTATGGTTCCAGGACACTCTAATATAAGAGGAAATTACATCGTAGATTTAGTCGCAATAGATGCTTCCATTGCTCCTCTAACATGTATAAAACAATATATTTTCGGCCGATATTAAAAAAAAAATATAGATGAAGAATTTTTCTCTTGAAAAACTATGTATATGGAGCAGTACATCAGACTGGTATAAATTTATAAATAACAAAAAAAAAAAAAAAAATAAAATATAAAAACATATCTAACATTCTACCAAGAATTGACCAGATAAAAATAATTTGGATAAGGTGGGGATATTGCCGTGTAACGCACGATCATCTCATTAACAAAGACTAAAAAAGGAATACGTTAACAGTGTTCTCCGCTCTCTTTCTGTAAAAAAACAATGAGCTCCGATCATTTATTACGAGAGAATAACGGTTTTCGTCAGTGAGTGTCTTCCAACGCGTGCCATATTGCTTGTTCGTAAAGAAAAAAATAGTGGTGGCGTCAACTTAATAATCGATTTAAGTAAAATGAATTTAATACTTTTGGAATCAGAAATATTTTATAATAGTAAATAGCA